TAATTTGCCATTCGTATTACTGGGGGTCGCAAAAGGCCCCCCCCTCTTCAGGACGGCTTCGGCCTGAGTATCCTCTTTAGATTGATATGACCTTGTGGGTTATGCCGACTATCCGTGGTATCCCATAGCGGAAAGGCAACAAGAAGGTCCGCCAGAAGTGTCCATTATGACAGCACCTACGTCAGTTCGGGGTTACATGTTTCAAGGCAATAGAGCCAAGATCTGTGCATATGAGATGGAAAATGACAGGTGTGCCCGCCGGGGCTCCTGATGTTAACCCCGAATTAATGGATCATAAGGCAGAATGAAAATCAATCGTAATTAAGTGACTTTATCTCCCACGGGCTTCCGGGATCTTACACGAACGGCTGCTCCATACCTCAGTCGCAAGTACTGCTTCTGGTAAATGATCACCTCAACTGTGTCGCAGCTTTTGCGTGACTGGGCCCGCTTGTCAAGCCGAGGCCTAGCGCTACTTACGGAGTATTGGTACCAGGGATACTTCGTACCCAGTGGAGTCTGCCATTCGGCAATCTCCTATCGGCCGCCCTATGAGCAGGGGAAATGGCCCGCGCTTGAGTTATTCAAAACCCCGGGCCCCCCCTCTCCCACCTATCCCTTCCTTCTTCGTCATTTAGATATCTTTCAGCCATCGGCGGGCCAAATATATTCGCCCCATCTTGGCATATGTTATAATTATTTGAGAGAAGGTCGACCTCGTTCTCACTTCATCCACTCGTTCATAATTTTCCGACCTTTCAACTGCGCCCCAGCATTCCGTCAGGTTATTCTCTGCTGGCCAAGAGAATTATACCTAGATGAGCGGTGTTTGATTCGAACACCTGTTTCTAATTTGACATTTCCTTCACATCTACATTATGGATTACATTCGACAAAACTATGTGTATACCCGGGTCCTGGACAGCCTCCCTTGGAAATCCGGGGACCCCAACGTGAAGGGTGACCCAAGGAAGAGCGTGAAATGGATCGACGTGAGTAATTCCGTCGCGAGGCTCAATTGACAAGAAATCCTTTCTGACTTTGTATGAATAGGGACTTCGAGGAATCGCATCCTTTCTTGTTGTCATGACCCATCTTGCTCGTGCGTGGGACTATGATCTCTTTGCTCCACGCGACGATGAAGACACACCACCGCGCATTCTCCAATGGCCAATCTTGCGAATTCCCTGGCAAGGTCGACTCGGCGTTACCATTTTCGCCTTTCTTACCGGTTATGTTTGTGCCCTGAAGCCTATAAAGCAGTCCCGAAATGGGGATATCCTTGGATCTTTCACTTCGGTGGCCAAAAGCGCCTTCCGCCGACCACCTCGCCTCATCTTCCCCGCCACGATCGCCCTCATAATTTCTTGGGTCATGGCACAGTGCGGGGCCTTCATTGCTGCTAACCGTTCCGACTGCTGGTGGTGCCGCTATGCATCTCCCGATCTTGCCCCGACCTTTTGGGAAGAGTTCGTGCGCCTGTTTGAGAATTTCTTGGGAGTTTGGACGACTGGCTATATGGCATACGACGATCACCAGTGGGCCCTCCTGCCTTTGCTGAAGGCTTCCATGCTTGTCTATGTTATGCTATGCATCACCATGTTTGTCAAGTTTCGCTGGCGTCTGGGAATCTATCTGGGAATGTTACTCTACTTCCATCAAAATGCCGCGAAGCAAACCGGTATGTCTTAACTTGTGCGCTAAATATTTGAGCCTCACTAACCATACAAAGAAACCTTCCAGATGCAAGCTATCTACGGCATGTTCCTCAGCGATCTTTCCTATGAAACCACTTTCAAGCAATTTGTCGAGGATCACAAATGGGGTCGTCGAGTCGTTTCATTCATCCTCTGTCTTTCCGGTCTCCTGATTTGTTCATACCCTGGCGAGCACCCCGAATGGGCCACCTGGTCACAATTCATGAAGGATGCGTCTCACTACATCTTCCCACCGGAGGTTAACATCGGGCGACGTTACTCGGCTCTTGGTGTGGATCTCATCATTGCAGCTATCTACATCTCACCAACAACCAAGGAGTTCTTGTCCAGCAGCCTCCTTCTCTGGCTTGGAAAGCAGAGTTTCGCAGTCTATCTTGTCCACGGTACTCTCCTCCGCACCGTCCTTTGCTGGTGTCTTTACGGCATTACTGGACAGCCCTGGGAAGGCCAACCTACCGATGGAAATGGAAACCCGATTCTTGACGAGCACGGCGAGCCTCTTCACCCGCAATATATTCCCATTCGGGCACCATGGGTCGTTGCAATCTCCATCCCGGCATGGATCGCGCTGGTATACTTCTGCGCCTCCATGTGGACAACATACGTCGATCCTTTCTGTGCGAGAATGGCACATAAGCTCGAAAAAATGATGTTCCAGCAGGACGAAAAGTCGGAGGCGGCTCTCCCCTTGAACAACATGCCTATGAACACCATGCCGATGACAAGCGCATAGTTTCATATCTGTCATTGCCGCAAGGCTCGGTGTCTCGGTGCATATATCTCATACATCTTTTTTGGGATGATTCTTTTTGTCAGGAGGGATCATTTTCATGAAGTCACAACGCTTTCGCATCTTGCTTCTCATGTACATATATTCAGCATTTTAGCTTTTCTTTTTCCCCCTTCTCTTATCAATCTTCTACTACTTGTGCATACTATATCTGTCATGCTATTTGAGTCATTTGTTTTATGAGACTCCCTTTCAATATTCTGTCAATAATATGCATACAAGAAATTCAACATGTTTCAATAACTTGAAACCAAATTCCAAATTCTTCCACGTGGAAAATATAAAAATTACACCAGGACGTCAAGCCACAAAGGATACAGGAACATCCCTCTTTCCTACAGCTGTCAGACACAGCCCACAAAGGGGTACTCCGTACTCGGTCCTCCGTACGGGTACGGACAACGTGGCGAAGGCCTTCGCTCATAGGGCCACCCGGGGCCCGAGAACGAGATTGCGCTCGTTTTCTCTTGAACCTAAGACCCCTCCGGGCGGACCCCACCCAAGTCTTACCCGAAAGGGTCCTGAGTGTCTCCACGAAAGGCGGCCCAATCCGTGAGAATCCGCATGCCAAGACCGAGGCGCTCTTGGCAAAAAAGGATGAATCAGTTTGCTAACCCCGATTTGCCGAACACGGCTGTTGCCTTCTCACACTGCACAGATGTATGCAGCCCTAGGTGAGACAGGGATGTTGCATCCACTATTACAATATCCGTTTGACACACGATAGGGGCCAATGCATTGACACTGCCCTAAAGCTCTTGGCATGCCCTTTCCCTTTTGTCATATCATTGATGAGCCCCTTATATGTACATTAGCAATCGGCAGATAGGGTCCGAGACAAATAATTGGCCCCCAATCCCATACGAATCCGATACAGGCCTTCGGTCATAAGGATGTATAGCTACCTCACTAACGAAATGATCCTTCGCTCCACATCTGGGAAGTATATGGTTTACATATTCTGGCCCCCGGGGCCAATCTTTATTCTAAAATGAACCACGTCTCATCGTCATGCTGCAGGAGGCTGTGACCCGTAAGGCATACATCAAGATCCATGCCCCTAATCCCTGCAGACCTGAAACTATTTTTGGATCCGACTCCCATTCAGCGAATAGAATTGGCTCATCCAGAGTATTTTTTGTATATGTATATCCGAACAACACGTCAGCAAGTTCTCCACAAAGTTTCGCTAATATTCCAGGTTTCCGTGGCGTCAAGTTACTAGTAGTAGGAATCAATCAATACTAGGTACGTACCTAGGTACTTCTTCGCTCATTGAAGGGAACGTAATAGATTATTGTGTACTAGTAAATCCATGAGGACGGTCGCAAATATTTATCGCTTCAAGTCTCAAGGTTAATTTGCCCTTCAAGCTCAATTACATCGTGGACATAGCCTAAGCCTTGGAAATACGTGATTTGGCAAATTTCAAGTTGCAGGCACTGTAAGAAAGGATATGTCTGTGGTTTGAAATGATGTAGTCGGAAGAGAAATGCCCTAAAATAGCGCTTCTTTCTCGCACCAGTCCACATTAAGACTGTAAAGATCGATTGCCAAGAAATCTGCTTGTGCCTATTCTGACCGTGAGTTTCGATTAAGAGGCTGATCAGTGTTATTATTCCAGGCTGAGCTAGAAACTTTAAATCAGGAAAAGATCTGAGGTCGGGACTTGATCCCTACATGGTTGAATGTAATGGCTTCCAATGTTCCTATTCAACGTTTGACTTCTTTTTTTCGAGATTCATTAATATTACCTATCTATTGATGCATCTTTCGACTACTTCTCAGCCCTGGAGCAGTATCCATGGATGATATTAACTTTCCAACTTCAAAGTTACGGATTTATATAAATGGGACTCGGACTAGTGTCGCAATTTGACCATGATCCGAACCGTCCTACTCGTAGGTAGTAGTAGTACTAGTAGTAGCAACGTGGAAGCTAAGGTTGAATCTTGACTTTTCTCTAGGTAATCAGTCATCTTCCGACACTGTTTCTATTAGGCACTTGAGTCCTCTAGAAATAGAAATTCAATACTACTACTAGTAAAGTAAGGGTGAGTTATTTAAATGCCCAGGTGTTGGGGCATTGATGCCCCAAGCATGAACGCCTATCTCGCGCCTGAGGATTCAAGATAGCTTAGCCATCTCATCTATCACTATTCTCGGAGTTTGCTAAACACCAGCATCTAGAAAAAAGGTTTCTCCACCCTCATAATAATCACTCGACCAAATCCTCCAAGAAATTGACCATGGTGACATACTACACAAGCCGTGGATGGTTGTACCCGCGGAACGTGAAATGCCGCGGACGGATCCCTCTAGGCCGTGAAAAAACGACCACGGGAGACAATTGAGATGTTGCCGGCTAATGAATGGTAACCATATATTAATATACTATGCGAGTACCGCATTTATGAAGATTAATATTCTGTCAAACCTTGGAAATCGAACAAAAGATCCTGTGAAGTGTCCGGCAGGGCTTCAAAAACATCATGACGATAACATCTTCAATTGCTATGATTGAGGCTCCCACTATACTCAAGCATAGTGGAAATAGCTTTTCATCGGAAAGACGAATGTTCCCAGCAGTCTGGATGAGATCGGGTACATCAAAGGGTCTCTTTATCCACGAAAAAGATCTCCCGTCATCCCCAGAGTTGTGGGAGCCAATATTACTCTCAGCCATGGGCTCTGCCGGTGCAAACTCACGGCAAATTGACGGCGTAGGAGGCGCTACCTCTACTACATCGAAGGTAGCTGTTGTAAAGAGCTCCCAGCAACCTGGCGTCGATGTTGAGTACACTTTTATCCAAGTGGCCCCGGACCAGGCCAAGATAGATATGACTGGGAACTGTGGAAACATTGCCTCTGGTGTGGGACCATTTGCACTCGACGAAAAGATTGTGAGAGCACCTCAAGGAAAGGAAGAGGTGAGAAAATCTACTCGTTACAAGATACTATCAAAGTACCTTCCGTTGATAGGTATATACAGATTGATATTCGAATTTTGAACACAAACACTGGGCAGACCATCGTGGAAACTATTCAAGTCACCCCCGACGGCAGGTTCCGAGAGGACGGAGAATGTCATATTCCCGGTGTCTACGGCACGTCTAGTCCAGTTAAAGTCGCTTTTATCGACCCTGCAGGTAGTATGACTGGTCGGATGTTTCCCAGTGAGCAGCGGCAGGAAACCCTGACTGTTTGGTCTCGGTCCGTGGGAAAATTCGACGCGAAAGTTAGCTTGGTGGACGCCGCAAATCCTTTTGTTTTTGTTGACGCATCGTCAATATCTATCAAAGACCACCCATCATGGCCTGATCCAAATGATACATCCTTTCTATCGGTGGTCGAAGATATTCGCCGGGCAGGAGCTTTGCAATTTGGACTAGCTGCGGATCTAGAAACAGCTGGACAAGTACGCGGCACTCCAAAAATCGCGTTCTTGTCGCCCACGGAACATGGTGACGATGCTGATATTCAGGTGCTCGCGTTCACCATGGGAAAGCCTCATGCGAGTCTTCAGTTGACAGGCGCAGTATGCCTTGGCGCGGCAATGTCAATTCATGGAACTGTCGCGTGGCACTTGGCGAGCACGAAGAGAAATGAGAGAGTTCCGAAGCATGGTATGTCTGTCGGTGGTCATCGACTCGCGTCTCCGTTGCCAATGGGCATTCGGCATCCTGCCGGGGTCATTCAAGCTGAGACAACTTTGAGGTTGGAGAAGGATGGCCAGGTTCACGTGGATAAAGTAGCGGTCTTACGAACCGCTCGCAGGCTTTTTGAGGGTAATGTATTCTACAGAGCATAGGGAAAGGATCCATTTTACCTCAAGATACCTTGGACTTAAAAATGTTCCTAATTGGGAAGGCCTTTTTGATAGCCTTTTCCAGCTCGAACCTCTGTAGATTTTCGTAAGAGATACGGATTTCCAGGTCATGAATTAAACCCATTTTTTAAGTAAATTAACTGTACTGCACGCCGTTCCATGGCGAACCGTTAAGCCCAAATAGCATGTCGTCGTCAAAGCATTCTTGTGGGCATGTTTCATCATGAATAGGCAATAGGGCTGGAGTAAAAGTCCCCGGTGTACCAAATGGGGCTATTCCAGAAGCCAGGAAGTTGCTGTTAGCACCTTCATACAGTGCCTGGGCCTCAGGAGGTTTGCTGCGCTGTCGAATGAAGCTTTGAATGATCATATCCATATCCAACTCCGATGGCTCTATTTCTGGAGTTTCTTGGGTTGATGAAGCTGCAAGCCCGAATGATATGTTGTTTTCAATGCTCGGTATACTGGTTGACTGCCCTCTGGGTATGCCGTCATCGATAGCATCGGATGTCCCCTGGCTATGACTCGGAAATCCTGGATTTTGGTCATTCAGGTCAACCCCCATTCGATCCATCAAATGTATTATCACATTTTGAGCCCTGCGCACAGCCCAGTTGGTCTCGCCATTCTTTTGAAAGATGCCGAGGCAGGCTCGCAAACTAGTATGAGAGCGACTGCCACCCTCTCGTTGAGCTGCCACTCGAACGTGTATCGTCGCCGCGACATAGGTGGCATATGATATCAGATACGGAGCTCTTCGTATAGAAAAAGCGTGGTCATATGCTTGAAGTAAATTGATGATTCGGTTGGCAGCTGCAGTGCAGGTGGTGAATGAGCTAACTGCTACCGATGGATCGGTAGTATGTAGATGCCCTTCTGCAACAAATGGCCGATGGAGAAGAATTAATAGAACGTTGTAGAGTGATAGAAGGGAGATGACATGAGGAGGTGGTGTTGTCTGGATCGTGCTGTTGCTAAATTGTAAATGTCGAGGAAGCCCTTGCTGCCAGTTCCGTAACTGTGCGTCCAAGGAGCTGAGGGTTGTCATAAGCTCTTGGGGGGTTCGATTCGAGCTTCGCTCTGAATACACTTTGTTCAGGATACCATTCAGGATCAAAGAGAGCTTGCACAACTCCGTAAAAGTGGAAACACTATAAGCGGGAGACCCGGGATAAGGTTGCGCGTCCGAATAAGCAAACGGCTGCCAATGTTCCAACTCTTCATAGTGGTCCAGAAAAGACAGTGACACCTTTGTGTCAAAGTCTTGCAGACTGGCTGGTCGGCCCTGGTAAAGTGCTTGCACTTTGTCAACCACAAAGGCGCCCCAGAACACACGCCGGCGAATTTCCAGATCCTCGTCCGAGAGTTGACGCATGTTGATCAACATCGTAGCATCCACATGAAGACCCAAGTCAATGATCATCCGAAACGCTGTTCCGGCATATAACCATGCGGCACTTCGTTCGTCACCCAGGGCAAACAAGGAGCTGGTCATTACAAGTAGTGCTTGTATTGTGGTGATTTCACTCCGATCAAGTGCACTGCCTAGCAGTTCCTTGACTCTCATACGAAAGGTCCACCCGGCAGTGCGGACATCGTTTGGGTCACGGCGCACTTCAGGGCGATTACTGAATTTGGATGCTCCAAAGTATATCGCATTCAAGAGGAGCTTGGAGAAATAAGGTCCACTGCTGGCCATGTCCCGCATAAATGCCGGGCGATAGGTGATCAAGAAGGAATGGTGCTGACGATTCCAATGTAACGACAGCAAATGCATCCCCAACTCTGGATCGACACCATCGAAATCAAGCTTCCCTTCCCGCATATTCATCATCTCTAATTGGCCTACAGAGAAGTTAGATTCTGTGCACATTTCTGGAACAGGTTTGACTTACGCTGATAGGCGGATTCCCCCATCAATCGTTTTTGAATGTGCTCCACGGGAACTTGAGGGGCGGTTGACCGCATTTGGATGCGTCGGTCCAGCGGTGCATCATCAAACAGCGTACTTGTGAGCCCATGGTAGCTTGAGTCACCATTGGGGGAGATAAAAATCCGCGATACAGTCGACCGCGCCTGATCAACGCTTGCTGCTTGTTTTCCAACCTCTGGTTGTCTCGGAGTGACTCCGAGTGGTCCGGGTTCTTGCGATTCTTGCCGCGGATCGCCGGGTCTCGTTTCCGTGGGGGTGGTTGCGCTCTCTGAACGAAGCTCGCTAGCGGTGATCTGTTGACGTAGTTGCTGGTTTTCTGCCTCTAAACGAGAGACCTGTGCCTTTGAGGGCCTTCTAAGATGTGAGCGGTTGTTCATCTGTGGCTGCTAGCAGGCGGTGGATCAGATACCTCGGGCGCTTGGAACTAACTGTGTACACACACTCCTTGCCATGGCCCCTACAACTGGAGCAGGCGGGCTTTTCGTTATCGCAGCGCAGCTTTGCATTTCGTTAGTAGGAGCTTGCAATCTCTCCACTCACGGCAGTCTCACCTTTCTCCGCCGGCAAAAGGCGCATGCCTTAGCAGCCCTGCGGGCCTTGTGCGGAATTGTGTCTTCCATGGAGTAAAATGTCGTAAGGGATTGATCAAGATCCGTGGGGTTCGGCTATTAAAGAGAGACTTTCTCCGCGGCAACTTTTGTTCCGGCCTTCCGACGCTATAAGTCCGGGTTTCGACCAACAGATTCCACCTACCATTTTGGTATTTCGAAAACATGGGAGAGCACGTTTCATCCCATTCAAAGCCCACCGAGGCAAAATTACAGCGGGTATCTTGTTCCGTTTGGGCCCATGGCGGATGAGAGGAAAATTTGAAGCTGACCGTCCCAGAAATATACCCCACAGTGGGTCTCCTTGACAGCCGGGGGAGTGGCAGGGGGAGTGGAAGCCGCAGTGACTGTAAGGAATCTGAAATGAACAGACCAGAGTCGTGGTCCAAATTCTAAAATATCTCAGTACCCCTTCGAATATTCGAAAACCCGCGTTCAGCTTCTTCAAAAAGGCGCAGGGACAAGCCCAACGAACCCCATACGACTCATTCTCCACGTCGCCCAAAACGAGGGAATTGGAGCACTCTATACTGGATGCTCAACCCTTGTCATCGTTGGTCTCTCCTTGCCTGTTTTTGAAAAGAATTATTAGACTGACGTGGGCGAATTTCCCCAGGGTACCACTGCGAAAGCAGGGGTACGATTTCTGTCATACGACACCATCCGCAATGCTTTGGCCGATGATAGTGGTAAGCTCTCTGCTGGCCGTGGTATATTGGCTGGTATGGTCGCTGGTGCTGTTGAGAGTGTTTTGGCTGTCACACCAACTGAAAGAATCAAAACTGCGTTGTTAGTAGACTGGATTCAAACTTGCGAGAGAAGACTAATTAGCGAATGTGTTCACAGAATCGATGATGCCAAAAATGCTCGACAATTTCGGTCCAGTCTGCATGCGGTAACCGTGCTTGTTAAAAGACACGGCCCTTCTGAGCTGTATCGTGGTCTGGTCTCAACCACGATCAAGCAATCGGCTACATCTGCAGTCCGCATGGGGACATATAATATTCTCAAAGAAGTCACCAAATCACAAGGTATTGCGCCAGGCGTACTCACAAACTTCAGTGTGGGGGCGTTGGCTGGAGTCATAACAGTCTATGCTACTCAGCCATTTGATACTATCAAGACACGAGCCCAAGGGGTCCAGGGAGCTAGTATCGGCCAGGCGGTGCGTAGCGTGCTGCATGACCATGGCGTCTGGGGCTTCTGGAAGGGCAGCACCATGCGCCTAGGTCGATTGGTGTTGAGTGGTGGCATTGTGTTCTCGGTGTACGAAGAGATGGCGGCTTTCCTTTCATCCGTATCATCTAGAAGGTCAGAAAGCGCAATTTAATACTAGAGTTTCATCTATATTTGTACCAAAAAGTCTTAATAATGTGCTTTTCTCATAGATCAGCCTAAAGAATGAATAGAGTTTATTTCACATTCCGCCCCCAGCTACGTCTAGATAATTGCGGAAAAGCCAAAAAGGGAAATTTTTATTATTTCCCTACGAAAATAAATGATATAATCATTATCAGACACCCTCGGAGTCAAAGTAAACTTGAATGTGGCCTGAGAAACCAAAGGTGCTTTAATCTAAATTACCACCACTGGCAGTTTTAAATTTAAACTCATACTTACTACTACTGCTAGTAGTAGTTCGAAAAAGACAACCAGATGGTTCCCATGCAATTGAGAGTGCAAAGTATCCTCTGCTAAGATTATTTATCCCTTTGCCCAGCTTCTAATATTAGTACATTGTAGGTAATATAATTCGCACTTGCACTGAGAAAAATTGGACTTATAGATAGTATGTGCCACGTGGAGGCTGTATACTACCTTGAAATTTTGGAATGAAGGCTTCAAGAATCACGCAAATTTAGGTAAGAGTCACCGGGAAACTACTGAATAATATACTGAAGGAACTGATAAAGACATCAATTAACTGAATATCATGCGAGAATTCAAACAAAGACATGGGGGCAGCTTCCAATGCTTGGATTGCGCTGACATGCCGGTACAGTGCAGCTCAAGCATGCTCCTTGTGATCAGCAATCCCCTTTTCCCTTTCTCCTTGCGTTATTAAATCTGCCATATCGCCCTGAGGAAGCTTCCTCGCCATGGATACAACATGCCATGTGGAAGGAGCATCACGGAAAATATTATCCAAGGCCTCCAGACTGCGTCCCATTGTCTCAGGATAGAACAGATAAACGATAACAGGAATGCAGGCTGAAATCACGGCATAGAGGATATAGTATCTCCACCCGATCGTGTCGAGAGCAACAGGGGTTATCATCACCACAACGAAGTTCCAAAGCCACTTATTTGCGGTTGATGCAGCCGCCATGGCAACACGTAGCCGCATGGGAGCGACCTCGGTACAATAGACGAAGTTGGCCCCGGAGAACCCAATTGGGTAGAACATGTTGAACAGCCAAATAAAGACCACAGAGACGATTGACAGGCTTGTACCGGCATTGCCAAAGCTGGTTGTGATGGCCAAGACTGTCATACAGAGACACATGCCAGCCCCGCTGAAGATAAACAGCTTGCGTCGGCCCAGACGGTCGATTGCAAAAAAAGGGATAAAATTGCAGACAAATTTCCATGTAAGAGCACTTGCTCCTAGAATTCTGGCCAGTTCTGCATCCAATTTGAGGTTTTCTTCAAAGATCGTTGAGATGTAAGTGGAGATTAGGTTGCCACCGCACATTTGTTGGAAGAATTGTATCAATAGACACAGACCAAAGCGATACAGGAGACGTTCCTCGTCATTCCCCAAGAAAAGCTCGCGCAGAGTGAGGCTTTTTGATTGCGCTGCGAGTTCCAATGATGACTCTATACCAGCAATCTCTGATTGTACAGCTTCATCATCGACCGGAAGACCCCGATACGCCGCAAGACTCTGCATGGCTTCTTCCTTTCTAGAGACAAAGGCGAGCCAGCGTGGTGATTCGGGAAGTAGAAAGACGGACCCAACAATGATCAAGGGGAAAATGAAGGACAGTGCTAACGGGACCCGCCATTGTGTCTCACCAGTAGTCTTGCTGAAGCCATAGTCAACCCAATTTGTAATCACAAAACCAAGCACCATACAAACTCCATCAATCACGACATGCTGTCCACGGTTTTTGGCAGAACTGCATTCAGCTTGCCATACCGGAACAGTTGCGCTTAGCTGGCCGATGCCTATTCCAAGGATAACACGGCCCAGCGTAAACTGGATAATCCCGTAGGCTGATGTTTGCAGAAGCTCCCCAATGATAGTGATAACAGAGGCCATGAAAATAGTTTTGCGTCGACCATAGCGATCTCCAAAGTACGTGCAAGAAAGTGCTCCCACAAGAGCCCCCAACTGAAGAGACGCAATCACTGCACCTTTCCTCGTGGAGTTTCTCTCCTTAATCGCGCCTTCGGTATTTGTCGTGTCAATCTCTGGAAACGTGGAGACCCTAAAAATCGATAAGCCTCACGATTCATTCCCAGGTCCATAGCCCTTAATTTTGGAATATCTCACCATGACTGCAGACTGGCAAGCGGTGCAACTCCGGATTGATTGTATCCGTAGGTGATGAATGCGGGGGCTACAGTAAGTAATACCTGAGCCAGGCGGAGCGACTTTCCACGAAGCATAGTGGCCAAGAGAATTGGAGTAAACTAATTTTCATATCAGTATGATTTGATCTCTGATTTCTCGCTTATTTATGTAGAGGAGCTCGGCCCACGGTCCGGGGACCCCAGAATCCGTTTCCTGTGGGGAATTATGTCCAGTGTACGGATGCTGAACTTCCGCGGAATTTGACTTCCCATGGAATCTACATGTCTTCTGGCAAGCTTTATGACTCCGGCCGTATCTTCAAATAATCCATTCAATTCAATTTAACATCGGTACTTGAATCTGTACCGTCATGAGATCATCACGCGGAGAAAATATCCTGGAGGATATACACAAAATACCCAGGCCGGTCACAAGTAAGAATTTTCCAATACTGCCTAATTGAGAAAGGACATCATCAGCGGATTTGTGATGGGCTGGTTTCATCTGAGTTGTCATTGATACCCCTTTCAAACATAAGATATCTGATGATGATTCTGATTTTGAAAAGAAATGATTCAAATTTCAAGTTAATATGAGATGGTCTTTGAGAGCCAGAGAGTGCATTTATGATCATCCAATGATGGACCTCCCGTTATACCCAGGTGGGCTCTCCGTTAAGGGCCCCTGCGGTGCCCAACCTGACGTTACAACTTTGAAAGGTTTGAGGATTCTGAGGTATATACCGGGGTATTCTGGGAAGACGCCCGAATGTTTTACCCAGCTCCTTCGCTTCCTCGCTGTCGTGGTCACGAACAGCCACCAATGGTATCAGAGGGTTCCATAATGCGAGGCCTTGCTTTACCTCGTCTGGTGCGGACATATACATGTCGGCCATGACTGGGCCCGGGTTGATGGCATTCACGGTCGCATACTCTGCTAGCTCCCGTGCCCAAACTCGGGTCATTGCCTCAATCGCACCTTTAGTTCCCGAATACAATGTAGTATGCGCAGTTCAAACCTTGGAGTTGATACTGGATATCATCACAATGCGACCGGAACGATCGGTTGGCAGATATGGTTTGCAAGCGGCAGTAAGAAGAATCGGGCCGAGGAAATTCACTTCATATATCCGTTAAAACTCGTTTTCGATGACTGATTCGAGAGATCCGAGGTATAATATGGCGGCATTGTGTACAATGATATCAATCTGAAAATTTTCGGAACTCGCGAAGTGCGTCTTCTCGGTCGAAACGAGTCTCTCGCACTCCGCCGACGATGAAATGTCTGCTCTCAAGGCTAGTGCTCGGATAGATTATACTTGCTCAAGGTCTTTCGCAGGAATTTCCGCAGCATCATCAGAGCTCACCGTGGCATAATTAATTATCACATTACAGCCCTTGCTAGCCAAATTTCGCACGATCGCTGCGCCGATGCCTATGACTTTGTCAAAATGCATCAGGTCATCCACTGGGGTAAAGATTTCCTTAATTCGAACGGAGCCGGTGACAATTGCAAGTTTGTTTTCGTAAATACGGGGGAGCGAAGCTCCATTCTGGTGGCTGCCCATTGTGGTGAATATTTATTGAGATTGGGGTGGGGGAGTGTGACTGGCGGGCACTGCTTCTACCTAAAGGCCGTTACAGGTCTTAGCGGAAATTGTTAGTCAGAGTGGCCTTGATCCTGATCCTTTTAGGTGAAGTCAATTTCTCATTTTGTATTCTTAATATGAGTTTATGTCAAAAACCTTTCCTCTAACGTGTCGATCGCATGTGAAATCCTTCACAATCAGCCGTTTTACTATAAATTACGCTGGATTCGCCGCAATTACCACTTAGATAAGAATCCTCCATCAATGGGAAGACAAATTCCATTTACATAAGATGAGCTGTCAGACGCAAGCCAAAGAGACCCTTGTGCAACCTCGTGAGCTTGACCGAATCTGTTCAAACTGCTCACTTTGGGCGCAAATTCATCGTGAGTAGTACCCATAATTTCCAACGCCTTGGCCGACATTTCACTCTGGTTTAGTTAGCATTACTTCAAAGAGTGTCTTTAGTGGGGAATGTTCAGGGTATAACATACAAAAATTGCCCCTGGAGCAACAGCGTTCACTCGGATACCACTTGGGCCGCCTTCTGTTGCCGCATGCTTAGTCAAGCCAATAAGAGCATGTTTTGCGGAAGTATAAGCAGGCATGTTTGGTTGAGGCATGAAAGCATTGATAGAAGCGATATTCACAATAGACCCCTTTGATTTCTGCTTCTGAAACTGCTGCATTTGGTACTTGCAACAGAGAGCAGTACCAGTCAAGTTAACATCCAAAAGCTGACGCCAATAGGATTCATCAAAATCGATCAGTGATGTCTTATCTGGTGACATCGCCGCGTTGTTGATGGCCACATCTAGTTTGCCAAACTTTTTGACCGTCTGCCCAATGAGGTTTTGGACATCACTGGACTTTGAGATGTCTGTTGCCACGAAAAGGATATCTCCAAGGGAGGAAAGCTCTTTAGCAACTTCAAGGCCTTGGTCTTCTTTCACATCTGCAATGACCACTTTGGCGCCCGCTCGAAGAAATACCGAGGCGGTTTCCTTGCCCATGCCCTGGGCACCGCCAGTGACAATAGCAACTTTATCCTCTAAGAGACGGAAGATGGGTGACTGAGACCCGTCCATGTCAATTTCTATCGAGAGAACGAGATAATTTGGACACACTGTAAGGGTGAAAATAAAAGATCGCTGTTTGATTCAGGTCCTGCAGGGTGACGAGTACTTATGACAAATGGTATCTTGGATGAGGGTTGGACATTTTCAATTCTGAGATCCACAACACTAATGCCGACTACGACGACGTTTCTTCCTGAAGGAGTTTTAGACACGGCAAAGCTACGAGTGAGAGCCATAAGAACTACGGAGTACGTATTTCTGAAACCTTCGCATTTCCAGACCAAGGCTATTAACCCCCGCTTCTTTGCAGTATCCAATCAATGAAACTAGGGAGGTCGTTGTGGATCGGGAAAGGATGGACCATTATAGTCTGCAGCTATGTTCCAGCCTTGCAGCGGCTGTCAAGCCGTGTCCTACAGTGATTGGCCCTTGTAGCATTTTAGAAGGGACTAAATGACCTCCAGGATTCAGATTAAATACAGATCATCCCCCGCGACCCGATGGTTATTTTTTTCCGGAAGATGGGCACCGTGAACCACCTGGGTAAGTGAGAAAATTCCGTATACTAGAAAGACATCTTCAATTATTTTGTTTCTACAAGGACCGAAATCCTCTGCATTATTTTGGCTGAACGATGAAATATCTATCACCTTGAGACATCGGCGCGCCCTCAAGATAACCATTTTGCAGGCATGCCCACACGACAAATTCTAGCGTAGAGATGTGGAGTCGTGGCTTGACTGATCGTCGTCCTTGACAAGAGTTTGCTCTTTAGTCAATTTCGGATTCCGAATGCACAGCGCGAACGCAATCAACGGTATGGTTAGGCAAATTCCCGTTATGCAGAGCAAACGCTGGGTCTTTTGGTATGCCACAACCACGGCATCCCGATCGGGAGTACCAACTGGATTCGCGTCTGCAAATGGGAATGGTGCTCCATAAACTTGGGCTGCAAGAGTCTCGTTCCCAAGTTGTCGAATCAACTCCGCGGGCAATACCTGATTCCAGATCGCACCGGAAATTGTATTACCAATTGCACTCCCGATATTATACGAAGCAAGATAGATACCAGTCACAACAGCAAGGTCTAGTAATGCATTAGTTATCAATGACGATTCACATGCGATAGTTAGCGGTTGGGATGGAATAACTCACGCTCATGCTTGGAAGCAACTTGAATGCTTGCCTGAGCTGGGTAGGAGAATAGACCACCGGCTATGGTACAAATCAGTCAAGTCCCCACGTGTTGGATAGTATCTAACCTACCGAGACCTAAAAGCACCTGTGCTCCGATGACTCCTGAGTGACTGGAGCCACTGGAGCCACCGCGGAAATAGATGAGGATGCCAAATGCAACCATGAACAACACAGTTCCAGATACAATGAAAGGCTTCAGCTGACGAAGCTTCATGACGAGGAAACCGAGAACCACACCAGTGATGACAGATGTGAAGCTGTAAAGAGATGTAATTCTAGTGGCACTAAGTACCGATTCATCAAAGCTGACGTAAAGAACGGTGTAGAGAAAATCTCCCTGGAGATACCACGCTGAATATTTAATTAGATGTGCGCTTGCTTGTTTCAAGTTCGATGGATAGTGACTCACCGGTATTCAACATGACTGCAATACCAAGAGGGCCCCAAATAGCGCGGTTTTTCAAATTCTGATAAAGGATTAGCTTCGATGCAATTTTTGACATTGAGTTTCGCGGCGCTCACTCTGAATGGCAGCATGGGATGCGGGCATGTTTTCTCCCAGTAGACCCAGATTGGAACAAGCAGAACTCCGATGACGAGTGGTGCGATTACTTTTGCCGTCTTCCATTGCGCAGTGACTCCTCCTGCAAGAGTGAAAGGAACGAGAATGCAGGCAAGCATGGCAATCACGAGAACGAGGCCAATGACGTCGAGGTGCCAGAATAGCTCTAGAGCCAGCTTCTGACCACCAAGGAGCTCGAGAGAACTTTTATACGATTCCAATTTCCCGGATCGTTTCGCGCGGCGGTGGACGATGAAAAGCACGGCGATCAAAGGAAGCGAACAGACTGGGTAAATAATCGCGAACATCCCGATTCCCCATTTCCACGATGTCACTTTAAGAACTTCAGAGGTCAAATTTCCGCTGATCCAGGTATTGATCTATCGATTGGACTCGAGTTAATATCTCATAGTTAGAGGGTTCAGAATGTGGTTATGCTCACGATAAAAGGAAGGGCTGGAATGAATGAAAATAAGAGACGAGAGCGGCTAGATGTCACATCGGCAATCAAGACTTCGAGAAGCAACATGATGCATGTGTATCCAATCTGCGAAGAAGAATTAAGATTTGCTAATTTGTCATTCCCCTGGTGGTTCATTTCTAGGTACCTGATAGATGACCGCGCCCGCAGAAAAAGCCTCCACATTCGTAGCAAATGTTTCGACAATCGTACCGACGGTATAAAAGACAATCGAGACTAGGATAAGTTCAACTCTGCCGAAGACATCGGCAATCTTGGCGGCAGTAGGCTGAGTTGATTCGAAAAATCAGCCGAAAGGTCTTGCAAGAAGTGTTGAGAACATTACCTGAGCGGCTGCGGCAATGACGGCGCGAAGAACGTTGATCGTTGCGAGTAAACTATGTTGACCATAGCTTGCAGTCGCATAAGGCTATACCAAGACGGTTCCTGCTGTTAACTTCTGGACTATCGAGGATGATGAAGTGGATTTGGGGGACCCACCTGGTAGGTGTACCGAACAGTGCCATCTAGACCATAGACATATGCAACCAGAAAGATACTGCAGAATAGAAAAACCCGATCGATCAAGCGAAACTCCGATGCGATGATTTCGATACGGCGAACACCGGGGCTCCCTTCTCCCAGCAGCTGAACCTCTCGAGTTGGTTCTGTGTAAGATTTGATCCCCTTCTCCGGACTTTCTCCGAAGTGGACATCATCACTGCCCCTATTATCAGTCATAGTGGGAAGCTGGAACTCAGGTAGAAGAAATGCCTTTGAAAAAACCACAAAACCTTGACCCGGGTGCTATCGCGTATTTAGGGATCTGAGAAAGAAGAAAAAAATTGCAAGCCAAGACCAAGGCCGCGGGCGCCGAGGAAAAAAAGTGAAGAGCGATCGCACCACCTGGGCACTGAGTCGGGTCCACAAATCTATCTTATCAGATCAGAGTGTGGCGTCTGTAGTTATATTCCAGTCCTTGGTTAGCTCGTGTTCAGGCCTATTGCCGAGGATGCCCGGACTCCTTCTTGAGATTGTGGCCATTGAAACAATTTGCCAGTTCCCCACCTCGTGTTCGACCGGGGTGAAACCCCCGAGTGGTCACGGCCCATGGTACCTAATTCGTCAGGTCGTACGAGACGCTGAAAAATCTTCGAGATAGCCGGTCTCATGGTTGCACATTGTCAAGGGCAGAGTGAGGACGGAGTACAAAGTAGTTTTCCGAATAGAACTAGCAGGACCATGCCAGTTAGGGGTCGAAAAGAAAGTTGAATATACTGTACAGGCGCGCCAGCAAATTATTGACCATCCGAGACGTTTGTTGAAAGGCCCAGACCTCGAGAATCGGCAGCTACTGTCTTGCCGCAGCTGAATAAACCTCGAATCGCTGACAGATCCATCAGCCACCAAGAAACATAAGGCATCGCGTTCAAGCTGATAATAAGCATAAATTTCCCACAACCTCAAACTTCAAAAGGTCATCATTGCTGGCGTGGTTTGAGTGCTGATTTCGGCATTAAGCGCCACCTGGCATGCAGGGACTCGGATGCGCCAAGGTTCGGTGATTCCGATCTTTTTTGTCCAGGTGATGCCCCCCCGATGGAGTCCCCACGGGCACCCGCGACTCGGGCCCTGAGTAGCCTTGGAAACCTGGCAGCCACTTGGGCACACACTGTGAATTTTCTTGACCAAATTAACTCAAGGGACTAGGGGTTAATAGTATTAGCTAGCTAGCTTACCTTGGAACTTGAATATTTTAATTAGTAGTATATTACCACTAGTACTCATGGACTGCTAGGGCACAGCTTGAAGTGCTCAGTAGAGTCAGTCACAATCCCAGACACGCCAGACCTAGAAACTCCATCACGGCTCCCAGGAACGCCGTACTACTATGAGATACTGGAGACGTCTCCAGAATCTCACAATGAAGAAATCCCAGAAACCTTAGAGGAGGGATGCTGCGGGGGGGGGTTATCAAGAGCTTTCGCTTCAATTTGTGGAATGTCTATACAACTCGATACTGAATCCAAGTTTCTCTGGCTCTCCCAAAGAAAGCGTATGAAGACGCGCCTGTCCAAGTTTTGGCAGGATCCCTTTTTGAGAGAAAAATCCTCTGCTGAGCCTTGTTGACCGATGCCATGGCTATAGCTATCCGGTATTTCGCTATTAGCTTCTTTTGGCTCGTTGCCTCTTTTGTGCGACACTCTGTATATGCAGCCAATTCCTTAAGCGTGGCATATCTGTTGTGCCAACATTTGATGATGATATCGTCAATTATCGGATCACTATCTAACTTCGGAGATTCCATGTTCTGCGGTAAGTCCACAACCTTGCGTCCATGCTCTTTGCGAGCCTCGGTAAGAGGTCTATCTCCATAAAATTCAAAGTCATAGTCTATGAGGTAGAACAGGGAGCCCAAGGTGAACTGTTCGGTTCGAGAACCTAGAAAACCGGAACTCCCACGCCGTCCTTGATCCTGCTCGTCGCTGTTGAGTAGTCTTCCATACGGGGCCATGCAAGCTTCAAAATCCGACAGTTTAGTCGGCTCCGATCAAGTGAAATGTTTTCGGGTCGTAGGTCGCTATGTGCAAGATTGAGCCATTCTAGAAAAGCAACGGCTTGGGTGATATCGTTCGTTCATTCATTGCGTGAGAGTAGAGGCTCCAGTTTCTCTACCTTGGTAACTTTGCTGGTCGCGAGTATGGTTATTTTGTATTCTCGAACAGAGGGTTACATCTAACAAGGCGGTTAGCAGACGCACTTGTTAAACACTAAGAACTTGAAGGGTCGCACCTCGCATATACTTAAGGGAGACACCATTATCCGCGTAGAAGAAACACTGCATTATGGAAGGGCAGGGCGAATGCTGGGAAAATATTTCGTAGAGTTTGAGTTCTCTCTGAAATTGTTCTCTCAAAACCGTCAGATTTCGGGACTTTGACCACGATATGAGGATGGACCTCATAGACAAAGGAGATGCCCCCTTTCCAGATCCACTGCACATCGGGGAACTGCTGCCGAATATCCATAACGGTGATTATATGTAACAGTTTGGAAGAGGGTCTGCAGAGAAACTTTTGGCTGAGCGTATAGGGGAGGTGAGCAGAGAGAAGAAAGGGGGGCGTCAAACGTAGGTTGTTTAAACTAGTTAGCCAACTCAACTGATTATTATTGGTGTCCTACTTTGAAGACACGAATATCAATTACCTAGACTGGAATATGCGTAGGTTTGGTGACGGCAGCTATTTGTTTAGTATTTCCAAGTGAGGTATGTGGCAAGCTATTGTATGAAAATGTTTATGATGCATTCTCGCCCCCAAAACAGCTCGAAAGTCATGATAGATGCGTGCTACTGACCGCCTTTTCTCATGCGGGGATCGCGTGTTTCATTTTGTGTTTCTTAGCATGTCATGTCTCCTGCTGCCATCGCTACTTAACTAGTCCCTGGCTGAACAAAAAATTGGGCCTGGCGGGTGAAAGCTTCAATCTTGCCCATAAAATATACCCACTGACTGACGTAGATGAGAAAGCTGATCAAATTTGCCATTATTTATGCGGGAAAAGGTGCCTCTGACGAATGCCGACCGAAGTCGATCTCCGGTAACCTTTTGGCCATGCCACTAACCTAACCAACTAATACTTTGAGCAGTATACCATCGCCATCGATCTTTACCCCCGAATCCAAATTCTCTCTCGCTAATGTGAGATATCTCTTCACCTTACCAATTCCTTGTTCTCTTGGTCAAATGCATGCCGAATGCAGGGGCAATGCCTTCCGAGCGAACCATACAACAAGCACTGCAGTGCGGCGATCGCGTACACGCGCTCGATTTCTGAAATATCGAAGAAGCTGTTAGAACTGTGATTCTGTGTTTGCAAGTCTTCGTCAACCAGTCAGGCGAATCTGACTCCAGAATTCGTGTGCAACAACACCTAGGCAGTGAATACTGTGAGGGATCAGTGCATCGGCTCGAGGGCGATATTGGTTGCTCTCAAGCTCCGGAGCAGGGCTCCTTCTAATATGTCACCGGATGTACCAGATAGGAAGGCTGCTCTGTTCTTATGGAAGTATAGGGTTTTTTTTTACTGAAATGGCAGGGGTGCTATTTTTCATCTGTCACGCGCTATGATTCCCGGTGCAATAAATCAAAATTCAATCTACTTACTGTACCCTTGCTCCTTTGGTGTCTACCAGAATAGAACCTTGAAATAGAATGCTAAAAAACTGTATGTTTTGTTAGTTGTAGAACGAGACTAAATATACTCAGCCCTCCGCCGGGAAAACTCACGGGATCCTAAATAGTTCCGTAAGGTTGGAAAGGGCCAAAGTTCCGACATCCACCAACATCAACTTCACCTGGTCATATCTCCACCTCACCCAGTGTTCGGGCCCTGGAAATAATGGCTTGACATCCTTCATTGTTCAGTCGGTTCTGCTGGCGGGGCTATGTCTACTTCAGCCACTAATTTGCCCCTACACACTACGCGTAGCGACGCGATGATCGCAAAACCCCCGCCTTCGAAAAGACAACGGAGGGAACCGGATAAAAATGCAATCACGAAACTGACCGGTGATGAGTGGCTTATCATCTTCGATAACGTAAGGCATTCTTCTGACTGATTTTCATCTCCATCTGTCACAAGCAGGTTACTGATTTCTGGATCTAGCTGCGCGAAGAAGACCCGTGGTTTCTATCCCGTCTCTGCTTAGTCTCAAGGGCATTCCGAACTCTTGCGACACCGCTGCTTTATCGCTCAGTCACTCTTCCACGCCGGCTGGATGATTTGACGAGAAAACCGGACGGCCTTCTCCGTCGGCTATTGGCTGATTCGCACTCGCAGCTCAGGGCGTACGTGCAAGAGTTGACAGCACCGCCTGCCGCTAGCTATTCAACGGGACAGTGCGATGATTTCGAGGATCGTGACTATCTAGCCCAGGTGGTGGAGAAGTTGCCTAATCTTCGTCTTGTTCGGTATGTTTTGTTCCGACACTTCCAAGGTTGCAAGTCTCGGCAAGGCTAACATCAAGCATAGAGTGATGCACCCTCTCCCCTTCACCGACCGTTATATCAGAAGTTTTGAGAACCATCCAAACAAGCCGAAGTTGCATATACTGGCCTTCCAAGGGTGGGAGAAGGCACCATCTCGCCCTTTGAACTTTGTGTCAACTATCAAAGCCAGTCTCCTCAGAGAAAGACAACGGTTGCCAACAGATGGTGATGCCCTTCCAAGCATGATGTTGAATTTCCAGAAGCTTTTCTTCTCTTGTCCGAATTTAAAGTCTTGTTCTTTAACCATGTTCGGACCATTCGAAAACTCCGACGCTCTCGCAACGTTTGAGATGACCGGGGAAGAAATATTCCCTCGGCTCGAAAGCTTGTCACTAAATGGCTATTTTATTCGTCCAAACGAATGGCCTCACTGGCGCGACCGGTTCTCTTGGTCTTCGCTTTCTTCTCTGGAAGTTGGACCGCAGCCAGACCTTGCGGACAGATTGTTGCACAGGCTCAAAGGGCACACTACCTCTTTGAAAAAGTTCAAGATAACAGTATGGTCCGGAGAGGATGAAGCCGCTGCACAGGAAAATCTTGAAGCCTTTCTCTATTCATTTGACACCCTCGAAACGCTTGAAATAACAAATTATGTTTGTCCCGTCGAGGCGATTGCCAATCACAGAAACCTCGTCCGCCTCGCCGTACATCTTGCAGAAGAATGGGACTCCGAAGAAGTTATCCCTTCGTGGAACGCTTCTGATATCTACTACTTGGATGACAACTGCCCAAGCCTTGAGGTGCTTGAAATTGACTTTGAACGCCAGGCCGGCGCATGGGTGCGCTCCACTATTTCACTGGTTTGAAATAAAAGCTAACGACCATGATAGGATTCCGAGCTATTAATATCTATCGCGAAGGGCTTCGATTGTCTCCGTGAACTATGTCTGCATGTTCGCGTTGGCAGCGTTAGAGGCGAAGAGCCACCATTGACCCCGGTGCTCAATTATCAATCTGCCCAAGAGATAGGATCGACTTTCTTCAAAAGCCGCAAGCACTCCTTCGATGACTATCGCTCGCGAATGCCTAACCAGAAACACGACGAATTTGAGAGGTTACTTTTGAAAACGGGGGTTGACTGGCATCTCTACAACCGCTTCGACAGAGACCAAAAGGTGGAAGAACTAAACAAAAACACATTCGAACTGCGAAAGCCAACATGTAATGCTGGAAATTTGACTCTGATTCACCCAGAAAGAGAAAGAATCCAGGCGCAAAATCGACAGGGGTATCCGGGCGCAACAGCTGAAAAAACAAGGAACGTCATATGTGCGGGAGAGATTGGAGCGCTTCATGAGAGCTATTTAGGAAGAATCAATAGCCCCACACAAGCCGAGTGAACTTGATGATGGGCGCTTCTTTTGATGAGTATCGTGACCGCTCGCAATTTCGTACATCTCAGCTGTGATTGGCCCCCAAGGGATCTTCATCGTCGCCCCCGGCTTATGTCTCCATTCAACTTCCAATGGACGGAGCTTACGAATAAATGTCAGCCTTGAAGTCAGTTCAGAGTTTCTCTGACAAAATTATCCCCACACTACGTCATAAATCTCACGACGGCGCAGCGAGGCATCTCTGTACAGCCAGTATAGGCGAGATCGGCGAGCATGCCGAAGTTAGCCCCCACGGGCCGTGAAGTTCCCGGTGGCAAGCTCTAGCTTCATTTCAATTAAACAAAGAGATTGGAAGCAATATTCGGGAAAAATTGGCCGTAGTGCAAGTAGCTAAAGGTGTGTGTTGTTGAGCAACGTTCTCGTCCCCGCGCGAATAATCTGCCATTTGATAATTCCAAGTCTATATATCGTGTTTGCTAAGATTTGTGAGACTAAATGGACGGTGGGCCAATATTTGAAGACACATGCGCAATTGCTTGTCTTCTACAGTTGGTCTAGGCTTTTGGCAGTAACTATATGCTCCGCAGAGCGCGCCGAATAACCCCAATTGGATGTATGATCAACCATACGCCCTGAAGAAACCCCTCTACAATCTCACCTATATTGCGCTGGATAGACGATGCCAAGATGTAGAGTAAATAGCCCCCAGTAAGATCTAAGGAGACCCCAAATAATGAATGGAGAATTCAACATGCAGCCATGTGTTCGTAGAGTAAATATCTCGTCCTTTCTATGGGATTAATTTGAAAATACATAGGACTAGTATATTGCTCGATGAAATTTTGAGATGATGCATACTATGGAATGTATGACTGTCGAGTTTACTTTAATTCCATCGAAGTTCTAACGAATTGGTATGATCGACATCCATGGATTTGGATAATTATAGACTTTCGTTCAGATCCTTGCAATGTTGTATCAACTGGGGCAATGAAGATCCATCCTCTTCAAGTTCCGGTCCCTGGGTCTTGAGCAAGTTGAAGGAATCTGACATCATGATTGATTGTACTTCAAGTTTGGATTCGGTCTCAAAGCGTGGAAGAATGCCTTCCAGTTTCAGAAATGCCACACCTTCCATCTTCGCAAACTTGAAGGTATATAAACCAACAATATTCCCCCAAAACTTGAGTCATTATAGCTTCACTGGAGCCCTGGATTTGAAACATAACTGACTCAACCCACTCTCACATTTCCATTGCTTCAATTCCTCTTGAACTGTGAGCCATACATACAAATATCCATCATCATGTACATGTACAGCGCAATTTCCACTCTCCTTCTGGCTGCCTCCAGCATCCACTCCGCAAAAGCAGACTCCTGCTACGCCGTTGGACATCTCAACACCAATTCCGAAGGCTGGGGTCTGGGTGGAACCACTTACGCCGGTGGACAAGGGCTGGATCTGTACAATTCGAAGGACGAGCTGATCGGATCCTACGACCTGTGCGATACCTGCAGCGGTGTCTGCTCTGATCTCCTCCATGTGCCGACCAGCAATCTGTCGGAAGTCTTCTCTTGGGGTGCCACGTGCGGTGACGGAGGCTTTGAGTAAGAAATTTCCACCAAAATTTGAAATATAATGTTAGATACTAATAGAAACCTCTTCCAGTGAATGCCACGGTGCATATGGTACACAGACCCACATTGATGGGGACGAACCCGAGAGTGGTACCGATTTCTACGGCCTGGGAATTGATGCAACTTCTGAGTGCCGCGTCAATTTTGACTGCTAGAAGCATGTCTTTTTTTTACGACATTCGACGGGGATTTCAAAGATCCGATCGCATCTAGAGTTTGCAATGGCTTGGAAGGCGGCATGCCCTGTTCTCCACACCCTACGCCTGTATAAACTAAATTTCAAATGGAGCAAAGGGCTATATAGGTTACTGGATTGAACAATTCGAAAACCTATAAACGATCTTATAACTTCATCTTAATTGGGTTTCCGTACAATAAGTCTGTATCATCCGTCGTAAATATCAACCGAGGGTACCTTTATAGACGCCCAGGTAGATTAGAGTTAGACGTAAGTCACCCTGAGATATTCCAAGAAGAGATACAGCAAGACATTGATCCACAGTACGATCAGATAAATCTTGATTTTCGCAAAAAGCGCTTTTCTCGGGTGGCCGTATTCCCGATTGCAACGGTCGGACTCACCGGGCTTACCTGGCCCCCAGTTTTCATACGGGGGTCTCGGGACACTGTCCAATCAACCTTTGAACTCAAATTGATATTCATCTGATAACCCTTTTTGGAAGGCCGTACTTGCGGGTGCGTTCGAAGCGGGCAAGGGGCGCTCGGACATGCAAAGTTTGAGGGAAGGTTTGGAGAGGGGGAAATGTAAAAGCATGGGGAAATCAAAGCAAGCATTGGGGTTGTTCGAGCAGATATCTTGAGGATGGACCCTGTGTCAAATGTTCCCACTTAGATCTCGCTGCTGGATCCGAGATCGGAGTGCCCGTCACCCAAAAAGGAATATCTGGATGTGCTGATTGGCAGTGAGAAATGGCCCCCAAAGATGAGGTCCGGATCATGTGTTGGTGTCTAGTAAAATTATCTGATCTCGTTGTTTCTAGGCAAGGATCGGTCGCATCTCAAGCAATGAGGTGGGTTTAAATAAGTGGGCCAGGGGCGTCGGAGGCGTCCCTAAGCCGAGCCAAGCGCATCTTAGGGGTAAATCCTCTCCAGTTTCGGGGTGGCCGAGAGAAGGCATAGAAAAACTTATTGAACCCTCATTTCCTCTCTTTCCAAGTTGACCCCTCCGATGGTTTACGTTGTTAACATCGACTACACTGAAACCTGACTGCCAGTGGGGATTTGTGTGCACTGTCCGGTCCCCTGATTGTCCCGAAGCTATAAACCAGGGCGCCATCATGAGTAACCGAGGCATCCTCCGAAGCCGAAATGCGAACAATCGCTGGCCATGGTCTACCAAGACTCGCAAAGACCAGACGGAGGAGCACATGCAAAGCCCAGGCGATACTGAAGCCCCAGTACTTTCGGCGCGCGATGAAAAAGAAGTCAACGAACGTCCAGACGAGATCAACTTAGATGCGAAACCTGGCTTGCAAAAGGCCGAAGCAGTTGCTCTTATTTGGAGTAAGAAAACCGTTATTTGTCTCCTTGCTTGGTAAGAATTTATATGCCTGTTCACTTACTACTACCATGAAACTACTACGCCATGCCTTTGATCCAATCCTAACTTGTCATTTCACAGGGTTTGGGTCTGTTATATGATATTGGCATTGCACCAGATCATCTTGAGCAACATTACAGTATTTGTCTATTCTTCTCTTGAATCTGCACCACAAATCACAAATGCCTACATCATGGCCAACATTATCGGTGCGGTTCTCAAACTGCCTCTGGCCAAAACCCTCAACCTTTGGGGTCGTGCCGAGGGGATGATGATATCACTGGTCATTTATCTGGTCGGTATGGTTGTTTTGGCAGCTTCCAATGATCCCACAACATATGCAGCTGGTTACACGATCTATTTCATCGGATATGACTGTATCTATTTGCTGCTGCAGATCTTTGTGGCTGACACTACCGGACTCCGAAACCGAGCGTGGGCGTTTGCCTTCTCGACAACACCATTCATATGCACATCATTCGCTGGCCCATTGGCGGCAAAATCGTTTGAGGAAACTGGATGGCGTTGGTCATTTGGCGTCTTCGCGATCGTGGCACCGTTCGTGTTCGTTCCATTGATCCTTGTATTCAAGTACTACGAGCGCAAGGCGGAAAAGCTGGGGCTTTATCACCCGCAACCCAGTGGTCGCACTTGGTCTCAAAGTGTTATTCACTATTTCCACGAATTTGACGGTGAGTCAAGCCTCCTTTTCTCTTTAACCTGAAGCCTCATGCTCCATTCGTTGTACATCTTACTGACCCGAGTGATAACTAGTGATTGGTGCTTTCATTTTGATGGCTGCTTTTGTCCTCTTTCTCCTGCCCTTCAGTCTCATCACGAACGGAAGATCTAGCTATAATACACCTACCTTTATCGCCATGGTGGTCATTGGATTTTGCTTGTTTTTCGTCTTCGCCGCTTGGGAAAAATGGGGTACTCGATCCGAGTTTATTCCTTGGGCGCTACTCACCAACCGCTCGGTTTTAGGCGCTTGTTTGCTCTCTGCTCTTCTTTTCTTCAGCTTCGACCTCTGGGACACATATTTCCTGAACTTCCTCTACGTCGTGTATAATTTGGATGTCACGATGGCCGGGTACGTTTTCAATATCTACACTGTTGGATCTTGCTTTTGGTCCGTTCCAGTCGGAGTCTTCATCTACTACACAAAGAGATTCAAATATCTTGCCCTGTGTTTTGGTTTGCCACTCATGATGCTCGGATCTGGCTTGATGATTTACTTCCGTGGCAGCGACCAAGGAGTTGGATACATTGTGATGTGTCAAATATTCTACGCCTTTGCCGGAGGCACCATGGTTATTTGTGAAGACATGGCTGTCATGTCAGGGGGGGATCGCGAAGGTATTCCAATGACTTTGTCCTTGATCATGCTATTTTCTAGCCTCGGTGGAGCAATCGGTGGAGCCGTTGCGTCTGGCATTTATAACAACACATTCGTGGACACTCTTACCAAGGCTCTGCCCGACGATAAGAAATCACAGGCAGCGACGCTGAGTTTGAGCTACATTAGCCAGATAGCATACCCAGTGGGAGACCCAGTTCGTGAAGCCTGCGCTTATGCTTGGGGCTACACCCAAAGACAAAATGCCATTGCGTCCACGGCGATCTTGGTTCTTGGTGTACCTTGCATCATGATGTGGAAGAACGTTAATTTGGACAAAAAGCAGAACAAGGGCAATGTCCTCTAAGCTTTGCGTCGAGCTATATCAGTTGTGTGGGTATAGCCTTCCAAGGTTGGGGCCGACAACTGAATTGATGTGGACTCCAGGGCTGTCAAGGGTTAACAGCTGATATAATGTAAATTTCCAATCAGCTTAATATATCAAAGGAGCTTGGAAGATTCCCAAGGTTGTCAATTGTGAATTTCCCAAAATATCCATAGATACTTATTACGCATCAAGCGCTCACCCGCATCGTAAACTTTGAAATGTGCGCCTTTCAGAACAAGCTAAGGTGGATTAGGATCTTGCATCTTGCATTCGAAACGTGATTTCGGATCGAAATAACGTGGCACTGGCATGGAAACATCCGCGAAGGTCGCTAGCGCAGATGAGCGGATCAAATCGTAGAATAAGGATCGATCTGGTAGCCAGGAGCTCGTTTCAGGCCCGACAGGTCCAAAATAAGCTAAATTTGTGGCCAATTAGAGATACATATGATTACCCAATCACTTCAATATGCGTTGACACAAGAGCTTTCTACCAGTTGAAGACCCACACGCACAGACTAGAAAACCATCCAGGGCGCTCCTTTCGTCATCAATCGACAGTGATGTCTTCTTACTCGTGCTTTTTTAATCCCAAACACATGCTGGATCAATAAAGATACGATTTACTACACGCCACCGTGCCATATAGGCGATCATGCTACAGCACATGACGCATAAACTAGAATAAAACCTTCAAATTCCAGTATCGACTAGGCTAGCCTGTTCTCATACCAAAATTTAAATGTATGTTTCAAGGAGCTAATAACTCGCGTTATGGATATAGTATTTGTGCTATCATCTCGGCCAGGCTGGCAATGTCAGCTTCCCCTATAGGATTGTAAAGGCGCCATCAGCAGCTTCTCATGAGGTAGTGAGACCTTCAGTCTGGCACTCACTATAATTCAGCTAGAGGACCATCAGTACTAATAGCACGACAAAGACTATCTAGGTAGTAGTTTCATGGGGGTTTCAACATTTGAACTAAAACCTTGGAACAAACCCTGGAAATCCTGCGACCTGCTCGCCCCCCAGAGTGATACGCCGGCCGACCCACACAAAATAAATCATTCCCAAGAGATCCACAAAAGCACTGTTCAACTTGAACTCTCGGGTTATTCAATCAAGTATATAAAGAGCGTCATTTCAGAAAAAATTGACGAGTCAGCTCAGCTGAAGTCTTAGTTCTAATAAATAAGCTCCTGGGCGCTGCACCACAAGCTCTTTCCCCTGCATCGCGGCAGGGGCGGATGATTGATTTGTGAGATTGTACAATTCTTCAAGGAAAATGCATCAGTACCACAAATCGAATGGACTCGCTTAGTTAATTTTACTATGGAATAACCTTGGAAGCTCCCATCTCATCTCATCGCGGCCCGAGATGTCAACATCAAGCCTGGGAAGTTAAATTGATTGAAAGCGAATCTATCGGTTCGCCGATCACCTCACGCGAGCCATTTCCGCCAGAATGGTCGGCTCCATGCGGCCAGACACGAGGCCTAGACAAGTGATGGGGGCAATTTGGCCCCACGAACAGCACAATGAATGGTTCGCAATGGCTAAATTCATCCTTTCACTGGTTGCGCCTTCTAGAATCACGTCATCTACCCTAAGCAGTGGTGATGATGCACGGACTTGGCTGATGTCGAAGAACATCAGCTCGCATTCTTTGAAATGAGCCCCAATTCCAGGGCCGAGGCTCTGATTTTTGTCTGGAGTCAATTTTCTGGTATCTCGATCTAATTGAACTGAGCTTTCCCACCGTCATTCCTGCTACGAGCCTTCGCGGGGGCGCGTGTGACCATCGTGATGCCGACGATTTCCAAAGAGCAGCTGGACATGATCGGTGTCGCGGGGCGAGTCACTTCAGTTCTCTCAATATTAGGCTCTGCTACCATAGTCGCTGCGTTTATGTGCTCACGGCACCTTCGAAGTCCAATTCATCGAATAATATTCTTCAATGCATTTTATAACCTTTTCGACTCTGTGGCGACGATGATTTCTGTCAATGGACCATATGCAGGCGACTACTCATCCTTGTGTCAATTCCAAGGATTTGCACTTCAAATGTATGTTTTTCACCATCAGGCTTGAAATTTGGTTGGAAGTTACCTCCTGGAAAGAAAAGAACGAATAAGCTGACGATGATATACTAGGTTTCCGATCGCCGATGTACTTTGGACATTCGCCATGGCCCTAGACACGTACCTTGTGGTCTTTCATCGTTTCGATACTCATTCACTACACAAACTCGAGAAATACTATCTTTCAATAATCACAATCGTCACATTCATTCCGGCTTTGGTATTTCTATTTATTCGGACACCAGCCAAGGGCCCTATATATGGCAGTGAAAAGGTAAACTTCACATTTTCCCATTCCGAACCCCACAGAATTTCAATGCGACACACAAAAAACTAACCTATGAGTAGATATGGTGCTCCATATCCCCGAAATGGGTGATGCTTCGAATCGTGCTATATTACGCGCCCGTGTGGTATGTACAACGCAGAGCTAGCCCAGAGTCCAACTAATATCACAACGACCAAAAGCTGATTAATTTTCTGCTCCCAGGCTCGTCATCGCCATCGTCTTGGTCTTATATTTTCTCATCGGCGTCGAGATCGCACGTTTACGGGACGAATTCAAATTAACCGAAGACTCCGATCACATCCAACTCACTTCAAACGTTTCCTCTCACCACACACCTTTCGAAAACCCAAATGGCTCAGTCATTACGACAGTCGAAGCAACCAAGCCAAAATCATCTCATGGCTACGACTCCGGCGTCACCAGTGAAACGTCCGTTGAGCGATCTATTACACTTCGCCCGGATTCATCGAGGCCATTCCCACCGAACTACCAGCTTCCAACACAACGACGCATGTCCTTCAGACAATACATCCTAATGCCTTCCCTATTCTTTTTGGCATTGCTCACAACGTGGGTTACGCCGACGATCAATCGTGTTTCGGCATTTATACATCCGGGATCGGAATCTTATTCGCTTTTGTTGGCTGTCAGTGCATTGGGATCTCTTCGCGGGTTCTGGAATGGCGTCATTTTCGTTACCATGGGAATGAAAGGCTGGAAACAGAGAGCGGTTGAGCGAAGGACTCGTTATAAAGTAAGTCAGCGTATACTTTCCCAGCCATGTTCGTATCCTTCAAGAAATGCTGACTCCCCAACCAGTCAAGGCACGGCATCACATAAATTAGAATTTCAGCCAATAATTCAACTAATAGAAAATATGGAATAATGAACCTTGGGATTTAATCTTTAGTTAATCAAAAACTTGGAACTGCAGATTGAACCAGAACTTTTGGGTTGAAATCGAACATAAATTCATATAGTTCAAGTTGCAGTGGGCAGTTGCCGGACATAAAAATCGGGTTTCTCTCCGGTAAAACATCGCGCATATTCGGACACGGATAAAGCGAGGGGAAATCCGCCATCATCTCCTCCGTAATAGAAGTATATTTAAATGGCCTTCTATCTGGATGCTATACTTGGATCCACCAGCGAAATATCGAGCATAACCATACAAAATGGCCACCAAACCAACCGTCCTCCACATCGGAGACGCCATCAAGTATAACCACGATTTCTACAACAATGAATTCACCTCCCGATTCAAGGTAATCCAAGCAACAGAAACAACCCGAGAAGAATTCATCCAAGCCCTGAAATCTCAAAAGTAAACCACACACCCGCATATCTACTTCCAAGTCTCCCCTAGCTAACCTCTTCCCCCTCCCAGATACGGCCCCTTCTCAGCCCTATTCCGCCCACACTTTCAAACAGGCGACTTCATGGGCCAATGGGACTCAGAACTAATCCAGCTCTTACCACCCAGCATGCGAATCTTCGCCTCAGCAGGAGCAGGCTTCAACTGGGCTGACGTAGACCTCCTCGCCGCAAAAAAAGATCTGGTACGCCAACGGGGCCGGCGCCTCCGACAACGCCGTCTCCGACACAGCCTTGTACATGATCCTCAGCGTCTTCCGCAACTTCACGCGCTCGCAACTCGCAGCCCGAACCGCCGACCCGGCAAAATTCACAGCGACGCATCGGCTTATTGCGACGATTTCGCAGAACCCGCGCGGTCACGTCCTTGCCGTGATTGGGTTTGGGAATATCAGCAGAAAATTGGCGTTTAAGGCGCGGGTGGCGTTGGGGATGAAGATCCATTATTATGATGTTGTTCGCGCTGACACGAGGACGGAGGAGGAGTTGGGTGCGACGTTTCATGAGTCTTTGGATGAACTTTTGGGTATTGCGGATTGTGTTACGATTCATACGCCGTTGAATCGGTATACGCAGGATTTGATTGATGAGAGGGCGTTGGCGTTGATGAAGCCCGGTAGTCGGATCGTTAATACTGCACGTGGACAGATTGTGAATGAGGATGCGCTGGTGAAGGCGTTGGAGAGTGGTCATCTTTCGGCGGCGGCTTTGGATGTGCATTACCATGAGCCGCAGGTTTCGCAGAAGTTGGCGAGTATGGAGAATGTTACGCTGACTACGCATGTTGGTGGTGGTGCTTTGGATACGAGGATCAACTTCGAGTTAAACGCCATGAAGAATATCCTTGCGGTTGTGGGGGCGAACGGGGAATTTGTCGGACAGCCGCTCACTCCTGTGAATACCAAGGCCTTTGAGGAGGCGATGCGAGAATAAATGATCATGATAGTAGTGGTACTCATTTTGGAATCATTGATTGGGATAAATTTTGATTTCCATGCATTTTTTATAGAAGTGGGTTGCTCTTTATTAATTGCCCTCCTTCGGGGGAGGAGCAGTTTCCTCTTCTGCGCCTTCAACAGCAGCAAGAGCATCTTTCTGATCGTTAACCTTCTTGCCACCAGACGCAGCCTTTGGCTTTTCCGAATTGTCAGTGGGGGCTGTAGCGAGTTTGGCCGCCGCAATACCACCGGCAGTGGTATAAAGGAAGTGTTCTTGGGGGAAGTGGTCAATGTGGTTGAAGAAAGAACCGAATCTGTAACGGGAATAAGTATTAGACCAGAAACACCATGTGAACCCAATAGAACTTACTGTGTGGTATCCTCCTCCTCGCGGAAGATGCGGTCATAGATTTCCCGCTGTTTGAACTCGTTCATGGCTGTCGCATACTTTTCAAAGTCGATGGGGTCACGGTCGAGGGTCTTGGCTTTGCTATTGTAGTTATCAAAGATGGGGCGCTCGAGCAACAAGCCAAGGCCAGGCGCTTTGGGAATGGCGATACGATCAGGGCCGTAGGTATCCTTGATACGGTCTGGAGTACAACCGGAACGAACAACAAGGGCACACATAGCAACCATCTTGCGAATCTGGTGCATCATGAAACTCTGGCCGTGGACCTTCAAGCTCAACCACTCGGTGCCATTGATGACGATCGGCTCCGGGTTCACCTTGAATGACTTAATGTGACGCTTAGCGGAGGGGTCCTTGTGTGTTTTTTGGACGGTGTAGTTGTGGAAGTTTTGAGTGCCTTCATACTGTGTCAGGCACTCTTGTAGGCGAGTTACGCGGGATGAGGGGACGCGATAAGCTTTCTTAGCCTGGATGTAGGCGGCCTTGATCGCCTTGACGGTGTCGGTAACCATTTGTTGTTGGGGGGTCATCTTGAAAGGTTTCTTCTCAGCAGGCTCGGATGGCTGTTTTGGCGATTCATCCTTTGCTTCGGGCGTAGCCTCAGTCTCGCCCTCGCCCTCACCCTCAGCATCCTGTGCAGCTGCTTGCTCCGCGTCATACCAGAAGAGAGACTTTTGCACAATCGCGCGGACATCCTCGGGGACGTTGTCGAGAATAGGCTTGATGTATGTCTTATCCACCTCTTCCCACCAGCCTGCCACCTCCTCTTGTCGCGACTTGAAGTCATCCATCAGGCCGTGCTTCTCGGCCAATTCCACGGTTTTTTGGCCCAAGTAGGTGCTGGGGTGGGGCGGCAGAAGACAGTAGCTGGGCATCAAATACTCGTAAACTCGGGAGTCAACAAGCTGGTAGCAATTGAACCCGCTGGTAGTTGGCTCAACACCCCAAACCCGGATTTGGGGACCGAGCTTCTCGTTGATTTTCTCGACAATATCCGGGTCCTCGATGATCATCTTCAATGAGACCACATTTCCAGCGGCGTGCACGCCCTTATCGGTTCGAGCGCAACGGACGAAAGATGACTTCTTGGGGTCTTCGGCGTTGGCTTTGGAGATGGCACCGGCGGCAACAAGAGCGGCAAACAAGTCACCCTCGATGGTTTTTTGGTTTTCGTTCCTAAAAGAGAAGTGTCAGAATTCCAAACCCAGAAATGCTAATCCGGCGCATTAAACATACAATTGCATGCCAAAGTAGCCCGTGCCCGAGTATCCCATCAAAATAGCGACCTTCTTCTTTGGCCGACGTTCTTCATTCGCGATCTCCTCCTTCGAAAATTGGGTGGCGTAGATCGGAGCGATGACTTCCTCGCCATTTTCAATCTTGCGACGCTTGTTCTCGGCCTGTCGCTCGGAACGATCTCTTTTATTTATGGCTTGACGACTTCCTTGGTTAGCCAATTGCCATTCAACAAACAGCGCATGAAACAACTGTTATAGATTCAATTCGATCCAATTGACATACCCGAACTCCTTCCTTCCCATATCGCGGTTCTTACGCCTTCCACCAGCTCGTTCTCCTCCGCTTTGGTTTTCGGCCATGATATGCGACTAAAGATTTCGTCTAGCTCGGGGCGGTTGTGTTGGGAGCTGAGGGATCGAGTTGTCACTCGAGAAAGTGACGAAGGGGAAGAGTGTAGACGTGGGAGAGTTGTGAGAGTTGTGAAGGTCGCTTGATTGCGACAGAAACGGAAGGCACGCATTAACTCGATTGGCAGAAATCAAAAAAGTTCCCATCGCTCCTTCCGCCGGCGAATTCCCGTATGGCGGTCACGCTAGTCCATATACAGCCTAGTCTACCTTCACTCCTGGCTTAGTCATATTGAAACAAACAATGCAAACTTACATGTGACGTGAAGCTCTCGGAGCCGCATTGCTGCTTTTGCGTTTGCTTTTGCTTTGCTCTGCCTTTCTTCCTCGTTCACTCTCTCTCTTTCACTCGCTCAACACTCACCAGGCTCAGCGCTCATCTTGCGCTACTCCCTGCCGACTATCTCCCCCTCACTCTCTCGGCATTGTCTTCCTATGGCCAAGAGATGATGACCTATATGTTTCCTTGAACTTTGCGACTAGAAGCTTCGCCTTCCAACTCGGCTCAAGTCGGCTCGACTCGACTTTGGCAACAGATCTAGCCTCGAACTATCGCCGCGATGGATCTCTCCAATACTTTGATTCGCAGCGTGGTGCGCGCCTTCTACGAAACCAGGCACATTCTGGTCGTAGATGCGCTCTTCCTGCACTCGGTGTATGTCTTTCTTTGAGATGCCTCAAAAGCCAGCCACCTTTGACTCATTTTTGTCATAGACTTCATGCCGAGGACCTTGCTTTCTTGATGGGCATGCAACAGAAGGATCTGCGAAAGCTATGCGCTCGTCTGCGCGAAGACCGGTTGATCGCCGTGTAAGGGACCCCTCCCTGTCTTTCCACCTCCAACACTACCCGCCAACATCACACTAACCTGACTCGAACCACAGGAGCACGCGCGCCGAGATCCGTGATGGGTCGACTCGCCCCGTCAACCGCGAATACTACTACATCCCCCTGCACCCTGTCGTCGACGCGATCAAGTACAAGGTCTCACAACTGACCTCGACCATCAAGCTACAATACACGCCCAGCGAAGAACGAAAGGAATACATATGTCTCCGATGCAACGCCGAATGGACCGAACTAGATGTCCTCAGCCTAGTCTCCGACGAAGGCAACTTCGAATGCCAAAACTGCGGCGCAGTCCTGGAACGCACAGAAGACGTCAAAGGCGTCGAAGGCATCGACCGAACAGGCCATGAGAAGAACAGCAAACTAATGGCCCAACTCGACAACATGCTCAAACTGCTCAAACAAATCGACCAGGTCGAAATCCCACCCAACGACTTCGACACAGCCTGGGACCACAAAGTCGAAGTCATCCGCAATAACCAAACAAATCCCATCCGACCCGCAATCCCCGTCCCGCCCAAAGCCCAAGACGCAACCCGCACAACTGCCAAAACAGACAGCGCAGCGCTGGAAATCAGCCTCACCTCTAGCGCAGAGAAATCCGCCGCCGACCAGGAAGAAGAAGCCCGCCGCAAAGCAGCCGTCGAGAAACAAAACGCCCTACCAGTTTGGCACACGCACTCAACCGTCAACGCGAACAATGCCGCAGGTGGAACCGCAACAGTCAAGAACGAAGCCGGAGTCCCGATCAAAACGGACGATATCGACGAAGACCAAAAGCCCTCCCTGGACGAACTGGACGACAAAGTCGCAGCATACTACGCTGAAATGGAACGCGAAAAGGCCCTCCAGGCCCAAGAAGACGCCAGTAGCGCCGAAGAAGACTCGGATGACTTTGACGAATTCGAGGACGTTAACGTCTCCGTTTCGGGCCAAAGTGGTCCCGCTACCCCAGCCCCCGGGACAGCACCTACCAGTGTCCCGACCCCTTCGTCTGGTATTGCGGGTGTCAAGCGTGAGCATGATACCGGATCCAGTGCAGCTCCATCTTCCGTGGGCACTCCCTCTACCCCGGCTGACGATGGGCCCGCGATGAAGAGGGTTAAGACTGAGCCGGGCATCAAGCCTGATCCGGAGCTTAAGCAGGAAGCCGATATCAAGGACGTCAAGAAGGAAGAGGAGTCCGATGAGGATGACGAGGAGGAGTTTGAAGATGTCTAATGTGTTGCATCGAGAGCAGAGCGAAACGGGGGAAAAAAATAGCAGTCGTTGCTTTCATTGATCATGGCATTCGCGCTGGCGCTGGGTATATGATCTACTTTGTACTTTATTCGATATTATCATGACTTCAGATATCTTGAAACCAATTTCATCCATGATTGAAAACTTCAACCGAAAGGCTGATAGTTACCACATCCCAACGGCAAGTGACTGTAAATCGAATGCCAAAAGTTGCGACATTCGAACTTGAAGCTATCAAACTCTGCCTAAGATGGTTGAGTTTGCAGTTATGTAGAAAGGTTAAAAGGCATCTTGGCCATGGTAACTAGTAGTATCGCTCAAATTAGTCTAGTTGCGTGGGCTACCCATGGTTATAGTTTGATAGCAATCCGTATCATGATACTAGTAGTGTGTCTTGCTTTGAATGGATTTTAATTCTTTATATGGACTTCTTACTGGTCTTTGGCTTTTGAAATGTATCCCCAATGTTAGCTCCACGTATTTGATACGAATACTCTTCTCGCTTCGTAGGACAGGATTTTGCACTAGACTATCAAGGTAAGATTACTGGTAGTACTTAGTTTTAACGTTGTTAGGAGTGTTCCAGCACGGCCACCGGAGTTCTCCATCTAGTTTGAGGATCTACTATTATCGTCACCAAACACTTGTCAGGAATCAATACCTTATTGCCCAGACCTTATGATATATCCGTCTTCGGTTCCGAGGTTGTTCCCCTGTCAGGTTTGTAACTTCCTCAGGGCAAGTACAACTCTACTGGTAAAACGGAAGGTGCTACCTGTAAACCTTAGAAACGGCCCAGGGCAGTTATGATGAGGTATTCAATACATAGGTACCAAGGGAGCATGGGAGGATGAAAAAATAAGAAAGGCTATATACTACTAGTAGTATGTATGTAGGTCAGGTGATGGGAGCCGGGGACCTATACTAGTAATATACGAATTTGAACTTGAGCCACAACCCTGGAATTTCAAACAAGATGTTATCTGCACACTACCGTCCCCTTCAATTTCTCAATAGAGGATATACTACTAGTAGTACCTAGGTAGTAACTAACTAGTAGCATATAAAATAGGTAACACCTGGGCAGCAAATCTCCCGGAAACAGGGACAGAAATAAAATAGAGTCCAGTCTCCATGTACAGACATACACCTTACGCAACACTCTCCACCAAACAACCTTGAAGTTGGAACTTGAACAACACAGCAACTCAGGAGAAAAAAAACCTCGAATCCACACTAAGGTAGTACGTAGAGCAAGCTCTCTATCACAAGCAAACTAAAAACGTAAAAAAAAAAGAGGGATGAACATTAAACAACACCGAACGCCTAACATTCGACATCAAAGAAACGTCCACGCCCCCTCACACAATCAATCAAAATCTCGTAGGGTCATAAGGGCATGTTATTTCATCAAGGGGTGGGTGTGAATTGCATAGTTTCATCGCTCATCGCTCATGCTCGCTCTCGCTGTCATTCGCCCTTCCACCCGCATCTGTTTCAGTTACATCGCCTTCATATCGAAGTTGAAGTCGAAGTTGAAGTTGAAGTCGAAGTCGAAGTCGAATCGCTCGCTCAATGCCATCGCTGAAACCCTCGCAAAAGATCAAAACGGAAAACAAATAGAAGAAAGGAAATAAAAGGCCCACCCTTGCGATACAAGCGTAGAGTAGGTAGAGAAGCGGGAACCGGAATCGGGAATCGGGAAAGGGTAGACGGGGATCCATCCATCGATCAAGGAGAAACCGTGAGTCCTATTTCGTCGTCGCTGGCCAGGGGAGAAGTATTTTCCCATTCATCGGGGGAGGGGAGATCGGATTCTGGGGGTCCCCGGGGGTAGGGTTAGATATTGGAATATGCATTGGGATTGAGGTGGAGGCGGATGCGTGGTGGAAAGGGACGCATACCTGAGACGAGGTCGTCGGCGACTTCGACCGTCAATTGATCCAGGATGAGGAGGGTTTCTGGCGACACGTTAGCAAGCATACAGAGAATCGAGAATCGGGAAACGGGGAGGGTAAGGGGAAAGAGAAGGTGAAGCGAGTGAGGGGGAAGAGTATCTTACGATTAGCATCTTCCATCTCCTTCAAGTCCGCCTCGCTGTCATCATAATAGCCATCCAGACAGCAGCGAATCGCGGAGGTAATGGCGGAAACCTGTCTCGACTCGACAGACGGGAGCGAACTGCTTTCGGTAAAAGAGTGAGAGATACGCAAGAGACAAGCAGCAACCAGTTCGTGGGCAATCAGTGAGCGATGCGCCTTAGCCTCGTCATACAAGTCATCATGGTCAACAAATAACAAACCATTGACGAGCTCGAAAGTACTATTGCGCACCCTCCGGTCTGTGTCGATGAGTAGCGTCGGCGCAAAGTCTGGGATGCGATCTTGAACGGCTTGGTTAAACCACGCGCGAGATAATCCGGCCCGTTCGTTTTCGGACTTGCATAGGAAAATGAAGAACTCCAGGTGATCCAATCCGGCGACATTGTTGATCGACTCGACTCCCTTGGCGACATGGTCAATTAGACCCAGGATACTGGCTTCATCCGGACTCTTCTGGCAAAATACAAGCGTGGCATCCAGGTATGGAATGCAGACTTCAACAGGTGATAGCCGCAGGCCATTCTCCAATGTTTTGACAACCGAGTTGAGCAATCCCGCGGCAGGCTCCGAGTGAAGATATGCATCAATGATGTATCGGGTGCTTGTCAAGTCGGAGAAGTGGTCAGTTTGGAAAAGCTTCATCAGCAATGAAAGATACCCTTCGTCATTTGTGGACATGAGAATCTTCGCCTCCTTGACATCGGGTGCATACTTTCCTGTCGCAGACATGACCCGCTGTTCATTCCCACAAACCGGCGGGAGGGAGAGGTCAAGCGATGCCACAAGTGTAGTGCAGAGATGTATCAATTGTCCGTATGAAAAGCGACGCCCCTTCTCCATCAACCTGCTATAGTGCAGGTATGGGCCCCTCAGTCTTACTTTATCGTTCGGGTCAAGCCAAATCACATCCAGGCACTTGACAAGGATACCATGATCCAGCATAACGCCAACATGGCTCATACCAGCCTGTGCAAGACGAGAGAAGAAATCGAAGTAGTCATCCCAGGCACGAGCGACTGTGAGGACGTTGGGCCAGAGCTCTTCGAAAAGATCGACAATGTTCTGTACAATTCGCTCAAACTGAACTTGAGAAGTCTTTCGTTCACTGTCATCAAAGTCCATCTGAGACAGGTATTTCTGATAAAGCTTCAACGCCGCAGTAATCATGAGCAGCCCACGCTGACGAATCTCGGCATCCGCGTTCGCAGTCTTGAGAACCAGATTTCCGATCGAAGTCGGATGCTCGCAAAACCACCAGAGCGCCCGAGAAGCCGTCTGTGGGCTCCGCCGCAGCAGACATTGAAGGTTATTGACAATATCTTCAACTCCCATGTGACCTTTGTTTCTTGCGATTAACTGCTCGAATGTATCCAATCCAAGGCTGACAGCCAGAGATTCCGAGGTCTGCTTGTCTGGGTAGTTGGGAGATATGTCCTGGACAAGCCGCAATTCATGAATCACAAGGCTGGCGTACAAAGGATCCAGCAGAGAATAAGCCCGGATGAAGACTTCATTTTCCATGGTGATCTGGTTGGCCAGAGGAATTGGTACCGACGCGCGGACAGGGACGCCGGGTTTTGCGGGCTTGTAGATTTGCTTGCATTTCTCAATCGAAGAAACACGTTGATAGAACAACATGTAAGCGCTCCAGAGCTTGTTCATTGGAACACCGCCAAGGTTGTGCATGGGTTCTGTCTGCCCACCGAAACATTGATCGGCGATATTCGTCGGATCGAACGTGCTCACATCCGCGTCGTTGAACTCCACCCAGGAAGGTGAATTCTCGGTGCTGGGCCGCTCACGGGTGTACGAGTAGTAGTGTCCCGATTCGGCAGTGCCAGTATGAACAAGCACTCCGACGAGCTCGAAAATGTCCGGCTCAATGGATTTGTCCGGCTCAGACAGGTACTCGACGTTATATGGTGACATGTCGATGAGGTCGGGGAACTGGAATTGATCATTTATCTTGCTTCGCAGCATGGTCACCATATCGAAATCAAATCGTTTCAGGTGGAAGATCAGATTGTCCGGCACATCTTTCAAGCAGGCCCTGGTATCATGGTTAGCTAATGTTCTGTACATCTACCTCAAAGATCGACCAACCGCTTGACTGCATCCACATGACGGCCACATGAAGTGCAAGAATACTTGTTATCTGTGACAAAAGATTAGAAATGCAGCCAGGTGTAGATGTCATAGTCACTCACCTCCTTGCATGATTTCACCCTCGACGTATGCCTGCAAACTCTCCTCGAGACTGGCCTTCCCCTTGATGTCACATTGAATGGCCGAAAACGGCTCCAATCTTTCCGAAATATGCGGACACTCTTTCGACTTGATCTGCTGAACGAGTTGCCCGCCGTAGAAAGAGCGGAACTTCTTCTTTTCCTCAGGAGCGACGATTTGGGCTTCACAGCGGTCAAAGAGGAGATTGTAAAACTCATCAACATCCATTTGGATGGTGACATCAATCGCCTCGTTATCATATGTCCGGATACTCTCGACAAAGTCGATTGGATCAACGCTTTTCAACCACGAATTTTGCATCAAAGCGAAAACTTTCTGGGTCTGGTCAAGAAGCCTCTGGGAAGTGTCAGGCTCAACGAGATTCAGCTTCAAAATGAAGTCGCGGAATTCGACATTCATGAACAGTTGAGTCATCAGTGAGTTTAGGTAGCACGTATTCGAGAGATTGGTAAGACCAGCATAGCCTTCCGGGGCCCGAAGCGTCTTTGCACGGTCGATAAGCCAGGCTCCATTGTATTGGTAGTCTTGGTCACCCGAGTCAGAAAAAAGAATATTAGAACAGTGAAGCGAGCGCAAATTGGACTGACCTCGGGGAATAAGACCGTCCAGCTGCTTGATCGTACACGCGGTGTTTTCGTCACTTTGCTTTGAAAGCAGATAGACGATGCTCAAAAGCTTGTGGCGCGTTGCACTGTGTAGAACAGGGACTCGTGGGTCAAGTAAAAGGTCGGTCTCCAAGGAAGGATCCGGGGAAAAACTCGGGAACAGATGTTCGCTTAGAATTTTCTCGCCAATGCCACTACTTGCGGTTAGTAGATACTTACAGCGGGGATGTTCAGAAGCACATACGTGGTGTGAAGTTCCACCTGGGTCAAATCAGCCGTTTCAAGACACTGCTCAAGCAGAACAGCAATGCCGAAAACAAGATGATCGACAGTCTCTCGGCCAACAAACTAGATTCGGTTAGGCAAGGAGGTCTAGCTATGGAAAAAGGCTCGACTTACCTCCTCGGTGCGTAGGCTCAGTCGCTCAAACAACACCCCACTCCACTCATCGACGTACCGATCTAGAGTCGCATCGCAATGGGTCGATCCTGTAACCGACTGGAAAACCGAAAGGGCGACCTTGAAAAGCTCTGAACTCTGGGTTGCGAAGTAAAGGGAATTAGGAATGATGTTGACCAGTGATTGCCAGATGGTTGCAAGCATGTCAATATGCGAGGGGTTCTCTGTAGAGTACACGGAGACGACCCCCTCTCCCTCAACCTTGCTATTTGGTGACTTTTTCGGAGGTTTCGGCAAGCCACAGGCCTTTTTGATACGCTCAGCCACGTCATTGCGGCTTGGTTGGTGGTGTTGTTCAAGAAGGAGCGACTGGACCAGCTCCTTGACTGCGATTAAATCCTTCAATGTCGTCCAGAAGGTGTGGTCTCGCAGTGAAGCTTCGACAAGAACGGCAAATGAGTTGCATGTCAATCCCCGGCCTATCTGGATTGAAGTAGGGCTGTCAAATGAGCGAGCAACGTCGATGAAATCCAAAAGCCGTGTGATGAGTGGCTGTGGGTCAGCAAACAGTACGCGACTGTCAGTTTCAACAAGAAACACTAGAGATAGTCAGTATTGGGGCAAGAAGAACGGGTATAATTATGACCATACTCGATACCAGGCGTAGCAGAAGCTCCACGGCGGTCATGGCAAGGGCAGAATTGATCGGGTCTTCACTTCGTAGCTTGGATAAATTGTCGGCCATCAAAAATTCACGCAAAACATCAATACCATGCCGGATAAAATCATAATCTGGAGACAGCTATTTGATAGCCGTGGTTAGAACTCGATTCAATAGACTCTGGATTTGATCTTACCTCGGTGGCTTCATCATCAATACAATGAAGCAATGTATGGAACATGTAAAAAGCGATGTAAGGCCGGTCGAAGGGGAAAAGATCCTTGACATTGCTAGTTGGAGACTTGACACGCTCCAAGACCCAATCATTTGGCGGGAAGGCAACTAGAAACGTAAAAACCTAGAATTTCGATCAGTAAAGGTCGGGTTGGAAGAGTACGGGGATGTTACGTACCTGCTCAGCGAGCGGCTCACTGAGCGCCAGGAATTGGTAGATATCATCAAAATACTTCATCACCTCAGAGTCCACCGACGTGAGTGATTGACATTTATTACTGCGTTGCAACTCTTCCGCATCTGGTGACTTTCGAATGATCAGGAGGCCAGCCTGAAGAGCCTTGATCTCCTTTAGACGAGTGTCGGGTTCCCCAAACAGGTCCAAACGAGCTCCTGCAGCAATCGCTGAGAATTTCGAAAAGCCAGTGAGTTGGGTGATCCTCTCTGTCAAATCTGCTGCCGTTGACTCATCACCGATCCGCAGTGATTGGATCTGCGAGGCGGTTCCATCGCGAAAGGATTGCCATCTCAGATCCAGTGGGCTGCCTCGAACTGGCCGGTGGGGCAAGCTTGGCGGCGAACCTTGGGGAGGGCTATATCGAGGACGAGTTCGCAAGCCCTCCAGAAGCTGGTGGAGAAATAGAAGAGACCGTGTAAACATGAGTTTATCTTTATCTAATTCTTCGGCTTCATTCACACCTCCAATATCCATCTCAGTCGCTTCATTCATAGCCACACCATCTGCTTTAGGTCTCGCATTTATGGCCGCTGCGGCCGACTTTAGTTGCTTCACACAACGGCCGACAATGGAAACATGAGTAGCGTTCACGGCAGATCGTGGAGCGGTTTGAATGATCTGGTGATCCAAGTAAACCTCAATGGCGAATTCCGTAGCCTCGGCCTCAACCGTGCCCGGCGGAGTGGTAAGGATGATATCCCAAATGCGATCCATTCCCGGAATGAACACAATCTCGTTGTCGCCAGCGGCGGGAGGCGGTTTGAATCGGATTTCATAGTTGACTGACTGTTTTGCAAACAGTAGGAGTTCAAAGTCATAGTCCTTTGGTGTCAGGTGAGGCATGTGTTCATGGATGCATTGGTCGAGAAATGAGTTCGGCGAGGAACTACGACTCAAAGAATTGACCATCATGGCCCAGACAGATCGGTGTCCTTCCGGTCCTAATTTCGGTGACAAAAGGATTTGGTTCCACAACGCACTTCCAAGCTCCGGAGTGACAGTCTCTGGGGCTTGGTTGATCAAGCGAGATAAAATTTCGACTCGCGACACAAGGCCGTGCTGGGAGAAACAGTCCGCGAGATCAAAGTTTGTCCCATTCACAGTATGCAGCATGTCGTTGATCACCAGCCGAGTCAAGTCGAAATCGGTTGCCAGCTTCCTCATCTCCGGCGCGTCCCACTGGGGAACGAGCGCACTCAGCGCCTGGATGCTACCGGTCGTGAACTGGTTCATCTCCGCGATATCTTGGATGCAGCGTTCGTACATCTCCATTCGGTCATCTTCACCAATGCCCGCCTTAATGAAATCCGACAGCTTGCGACTGCCGAAGCTCTGCAGTTTCGTTCTCTGGTCCGCAGAGAGATCTTCTGCCACGGTGCTTTCCCGGATCATACGAACACAGAGACGCAGAGGAATGGCATGTGCATGTTGGGAATCCGATTGATCCATGAACATGTGGCCGGTGTTTTGCCTGGGTGTCATTTGGCCGAGAAGGCTGTCGCAAAATTCAAGCATGCCAGCGTCGAATCTGTCCAGGGGGAGACTGGAGAGTTTTTCGCAAAGGTAAAGCAAGGCTGGAGAGGCAGTCGTGTGCATGTAGAAAGTCTTTGTCAGCATCGACAGTACCTCCGAGACAATACGGCTGTCTTGACTCTCTGTGACAGCCTTCCAGATGACATCCGTTTCGCGGTCCGTATATGTTGATGTTACCACCAGGAACCCGACGATATTGCTGCTCCGGCCGATCAGCTGAGGATGCGAATCGACCCCCACAAGATAGTCCACGATCTCGTTCTCTTTAATGAAGCGGACGAGATACTGGACAAAGGAGTCCGAGATTCCGTCGGGATTCTGTGAAATGTACTCCTTCCACACGTCGACCAGTGCAGCCTGCATTTTTTCAACACCATGAACTCGAAGCTCCATGCGGCCTTCCATGAAATGCTTCTTCAGGACGTCAAACTTCCAGCCCCCGAGAAGGATGCGAGTGGCCTCGTCGGGGTTAAGATGGCCAGGGAGATGGATCGACATGTCCTGTGAAAGTCTCTGCAAGAAGTCATCGCCCCAACGGCAGAGAGCCTGCAGGTTGCGAGGGAAATGACGCCCGACCTGCTCACTAATATCACTTGTCAACCAGGGGGATTTCTTTGTGACCCATTCCTGGTATTTGATATCGATCGACCTGAGAGCCGTGTAAAGGTGATTGACTGGGGTAGTAGTTAAGGTCGTAGGTTCTGAAATGAGAAGATCGGAGTTCTCTAAGGACTCCAGGGTGCACTCAAGAAGGCCGTATATGGTCGTGAGATAGTTGGTCAGCATATTTACAAAATGGGGGTATTTGGGGATGAGCTCGAGGGCAAGAGTGCAGTGCTCTGCGACGTTCGCGGCAGCATTCAATGGGCCCAGAGTTTGTGCCCGGATGTCCAACAAGACCGCTCGGAATTCACTGCCATACATCCTGTCCAGGATGCTGTAGAGAGGAATGCCTTGAAAGGAGACCAGCCATCCCATCGGTTGCAAATACAACCTGGCCATGCTTTCTGGTGCTTGTTGATCGGGCTCGTCGGCCAAGACCCGCCAGAGGATACAATCTTGTTGAACTAGGTGGAGAGTGATCTGCACATAGTTCAAAATGAACTTCTTTAGGCAGGGCAGCAGGCCCATCCTGTTGTTCATTGGAAGGTCGGTTCTAGTATGCGGGTCAGTAGGGTGGAGATGGATGCGGGAGGGCAAGTAGAGTTTAGTTCATACTTGCGACGGAGGATAAGCTCCACGATGGTCGGGAAAGTTGACCAAAAATCCTCATCTTGAGCAAAGGTTTGGAGAGTAAGACGATCCAGGTTGAGAACACAGTGCTCCATCCAAATCTGAACTTTCTGTACGATGTTACCCACATCGTACATATCACCTGGTCGGCGGAAGAATATCATTAATACAAGTCGGTCAAAGACAACAGGGTGAGCTTTTCAACAAGAATTATAAGTGAACTTACCTTTATCGACGATCTGGATGAATCTTGCGACACTGTTGGAAGCACTCAGCTCTGGACGGTACCGTGGGAACAAGTCGATTAATGGATCCATGTCGGAGATGTCTTGAATGAGATCCGACTGAGAATCACGGCGGACGATTTCCTCCAAGGGCCTCCAATTTGAGTTATTAGAGTCTTGCTCCATATCTTCCGGGTCGGCGATCTCGATCTGAGGACTTGCTTCGGGGGAGGAAGAGGCGGAGGCAGAGACGAGATGTGAGTTGAGGATGGGAGTGGGAGTCGCGGTGGTAGGTGATTGTGGGACGGCGGCAAGTAGAGTGGGAGAGGAGGAATCGAGAGGTTCAGGTATTTCGGAAGTAGGGGATTTCATGTTGATGGTGACTTTGGCGGGGGAGTGGAAGTTGGTGGCAGGTGAAGTGACTGAAGTAGCAGCAGTGACGGCGGCAACAGCGGAGGCAGCAGAGGCAGCTTCAATGGACAAAATCTCTTGAACGTCACTGCCCTTACCAGTTCCACTACCACTGTCCACACGTTGTCGCTTGGGAGTGCGAGCACCCTCAGCATGCGGGTCTTCTTCCATGGAGGTGTTGGGGAGTTGTTGGTTATGATGGTATCGCGGTGATGCGCTCAAGGGAGTGCCAGGCGGGGTGAAGGAGAGCTCTGGCGGGGGTTCAGCCATGACATTTTCCGGGGGGGCGGAGGAAGAAAGGAGGAGCTGGGATGAGGTGGGCTCCTGGATGGGGGGTTATAAGTTGATAGGTGAAGTTGAAGCTGAAGTTGAAGTTCCGACAAGAAGCGGTCGACAGCTCCAGCTTTTTTTGACGCGACCCGGTGACGTTGCGGAGAAGTGCTGGTACTAGTAGTAGTAGTGAAAGGGATATTTACGGAAATTGCCATTCTATGACACTATAAATGACAAACAGATGTTAATTATCTATTTATTATCTCCCACTTATTCTATTTATTTTTATTACGATTATTACAATCATTGACTACTTCTGCTATTGGAGTCTCCCGACTCCACGCCACAAACTGCCAGGAACGGCAATCAAGCAAACAAAATGTATACAACTAACTTATATGCGCACCATCCCAGCTGAAATTGCTACTACTCTCCCTCATTCTGGCCTCACTCTTACTCCAGATTGCTTCTGTTATCTGCAAGTTTGGTATCTCCATTGTCTACTAGTAGATTGTCATTTGGTCCACTGGTGCATGTCTCAGCCAACAGTATACCTAGTTGTACTACTAGTACTAGATTACCAGTACAAGCATAGCAAACTACTAGTAATCCAAACACTCACTACCACCTAGGTACTGGTACTAGCTAGTCCTCATCGTCGTTTCAATCTTCCGAATAATCCTGGCCGGATTACCCGCAGCCACATGGAAAGCAGGTACATCCTATACGCATCACCATTAGCATCAGAACGACTAGTACTTAGGTAGTATACTAGTTTATCAATGTGACTGACCACCTCACCTACCTTTGTAACAATACTCCCGGCTCCAATGGTACTCCCCTTCCCAATACTCACCCCAGGAAGAACGATCACATTCCCCCCAATCCAGCAATCTTCCCCAATGAAAATTGGCTTCCCCATCTCCGGGCCCTCAGTCCCATTTCGCAGCGCCGGATCAAGAGGATGTGTCCCGGAAAACAAATTCACATTGGGTCCGAACAAAGTCCGCGCTCCTACCGTAATGGGACAGGTGTCGATAAAGACACAGTTGAAGTTGACGAAGACACCGGCCCCGAGCTTCACATTGAAGCCGTAGTCCACTTTGATCGGGGCTTCGATCCAGGGCTCGTGCTTGAACTGCTCGTCATCGGCAGCTTGGTCGATGAGCTTTGGTGGAAGGGGTGTTTTGTCGTCGGTTATGCTGAAGGAGTTAGTATAGTATCAAGGTAGGTACATATTGATAGTGTGTATGTGGATATCTCGGATTGAACTGTCAGTACTAGTAGCAGCAGCACTAGTAGCACACTCACTCTCGCCACATCTCGACCAGTCGCCGACGAGGTACCTCATCCGAGGTATTATTGAATCGATTGCACGCATACTTGCATCGGGCTCTGGCAGCTACCATATCTGGGGTAAAGGCGCAAAAGAGCTCGCCGCGGAGCATCTTCTCTCGTTCCGTAAGCTCCGCCATAATGAATGTGGAGTGTATTCGACTTGACTCGAATCAGCAAGGTTCGTAACAAAGACAGATAGATGTACCACCGGAAATTTGGACTACATGGCCAATGCCCTGGAGGATGTGGGGGAGGGGACTTGCTAAGGTGGAGTACCTAACCGGACTAGACTAGTTAGTTTACCTGAGGGTATCAGTGACGGGAAAAAAGAACGTCGCTCTTTGTTCTCTCCAACACAATCACCACAATGCCTCCCACTTCCCCCTTATAACCCTCGGCTTTCTCTCCATTCCTTCCATCTACATCGACATCTACAGCTACAGCTATTCCTGTACACGGCACAGTTCCTCCCAACATGTTCGCCCAAACCACCAGCGCAGAAGCAGCACCCGCACCCGCAGCAACACCAAGCTACACCACATGGCAGCCACGCCGACCACGAACATCCAGCACAACCAGCACAAGCTCAAACACCTCCAGCTCCTCCCTCCAACCCCACCCCACATCAACACCCCCAGAAATATACCCAACAGGCCGCAAATCCCTCTCAGCAATCTCCCTCCGCGCATTCCTCCTCGGCACAACACTTGGCCTATCAACCAGCCTAACAATCTACCTCGCCCACCACTCCTCCCCAGCCTGGCGCATCCCATTCTTCACAGCATCCCTCTCGCTCTTCCACTTCCTAGAATTCTTCATAACAGCCCACTACAACACCGCAACAGCAAGCGTCTCCTCCTTCCTCCTCTCCTCCAACGGCTGGGCCTACAACGCCGCCCACGGCTCCGCCCTCCTCGAATGCGCCCTGGAACTATGGCTCTGGCCCACTGCTCCAACACGCCACTCCGCCAGGATCCTCTCACCCCTCTGCGTCAGCGCAGGCCTCGTCCTCGTCCTCGTGGGCCAAATCGTGCGCTCGCTGGCCATGGCTCACGCGGCCGCGAATTTCAACCACCACGTTCAATCCAGGCATAAAGATGGCCATGTCCTCGTTACGAGCGGTATCTATGCGGTCCTCCGCCACCCGAGTTATTTCGGGTTCTTTTGGTGGGGGCTGGGGACGCAGTTGGTTTTGGGAAATGGGGTTTGTTTTGTGCTTTATGCGGTTGTTTTGTGGAGGTTTTTTGATGCGAGGATTCGGAGTGAGTTTTTTCCCTTTTCCTTGACACTACAATAATAATACCATTGGCTTGACTTTGGGTTGGGTTCGGCTAACGCTTTTTTCTTTCTAGCGGAGGAGTCGTTTTTGATTGATTTCTTTGGCGATGATTATGTTCGGTTTAAGAAGGGTACGCGTGTGGGTATCCCGGGCATTGCGTAGATCTATCTACGGAAGGACTTGAGTTATGCCTTGTGTTGAAGGTCTTGTGCGCAATAGTCAGACCAGAGTGAATTGTCAATGAATGTGTACTAGTATACTAGTACTACTTAATAGCACTTATTCCAAGCAAAGCTTGACTAGAGATCTTAGGAGTACTAATTGAATCGAGCACTAGTACTAGTAATTCTGGACCAAGTGGCCCTGGTATATGTATAGATCCTATCATGATGGTATATGACATCGACTTGAACGCTGTACAAAGTAAAAGAAACCCCACCTCGTCCTCGTCCTCAGCCCCCATACTCAATCACAGCTTACTCTCCGGCGCAACAGCACCAACAGCCCCGCTCATAAACGGCCCATCAGCATCATGACCAGCATCCTCATCCGAACCGGGCGCATTCTCAGCCCCGTACAATACCAATTCACGCCCACCCTGCGTACTCCACCAAGCAACACAGCAATGCGCCCGATCAACATCCATCTCGCCGCCACTCACAGCCTCCCAGAACCGATCAATACAAGTGACGCGCATAGCCCGGTCCGGCACAGCATTGATAAGCTCGGCGGTCAACGGGAGCCATTCTTTCAGGTCGTCGACGCGGAGGAAGGAGAGGGAGTCGATGAGGGCGAGGGTTAGAACGGCTTGCACGGAGAGAGGCGGTGCGTTGCCCAGATCTGGCGCGGTGTTTGTATTCTGCGCCGTGGGGATAATTGGCGTTGTGGAGGCGTGCATTGCTCGGTCACGGACGACCTCGAATAATATTGTTGGGAGGAGGGGTTGGGTATTTGCTAGTGGTGAGGGGGGGGTGCGGTGACTTGGATGACCGTTTTGAAGGCGAGGCGGAATTGTCGGGCTGAGAGGTTGTCCGGGAAGACCTGATTATATGGTTAGACTGAGCTTTGCAGGAAGAGGGGAATCGACTCTATCGATGTCGGGAAACTCACGGCGAATAGGTTCTCAATGTAGAATGGGAGGTGCTTTCCGGCTAGTTCTGCGTTGTGCGGAATCGCAAATACAACGAGCACGACGCTGTGGGCTGCTTCGAAGATTTCCAGTAGGAGGGGGTTCGCTCCAGCTGCCAGATATGGGAAAGCAGCTGATAATAGAAGCTCCTCGTTCACGGCACTTGGCAAGACAATTGGGAAATGCTCGGCCGCATTCATGAAGAAGAGATCCAGGCAGCGCTCCACCGGATGATTCGGGATTTGGCCAATATCGCTGGGCTTGATGCTGCGCAAGAAGTTCTCTGCCAGGTCGGGATATTGCGAGAGAATGTCAACAGCAGCCAGGAACACAAAGGCTTGTTGTGATGATCCGTTTTGCCCGGTCCGAGAGGAGATAAAGTATAGATTACGCAGAATATGAAGAGACTGCATGCAAAGATATGGCGCACCTATAGCAGAGAGTTAGTTATTCAATGTGACATACTGCGTGGGACTGTGAGCACACTTACGACTGCCAGCAGCGAGAGCAGGGTCATTAATCGTTCTCCCAATAACAGCCCGGAGAACAATAACAACCGAGTACAAACAGTTTCTAAGAACCTTCCACAAAGCCGGGATAGTAGTCTGCAAGGACTCCGCATCCAAGAACTCCGCCTCCTCCGCAACATCCACCTCAGACAACTTATTCTGACGCCACTGCACCATAAGCGTCCGCGCAAAGTCCGCCATATAATCAACAGTCTGCGCCACGAGATCCGGACTGCGCGCATGATCCACCGCATGCGAAACAAGCCTTGACAACGGTCCCAAAGCCGCAATAAGCGGCCGCGAAGCTATCGTCGAGAAATACCCAAAGGTCGGAGAAGTAGACGACCAGCGGAACTTCTTCCCCGGTACCTCGACAACATCCTTATCAATGGCACCGAGGAAGTATCCACCCTCCAACCCCTCCGGCGAGAGGAACGTAGACCGCACCATAACGGGGAGTAAGCGATCATAATCAATCTTACTCCTCTCCGCATCGGACAGAAGTTCAAATGTATAATTGAGCACCATGGTAATGCAATACCCATCGACCCCGTCCTCAGTCTGCATCTCCTCCAGCGCTAATTGCGCAGCCGTCGCAAGCGCTGATTCAAGCTTCGTCCGAATATGCCACGGTAGACCCTGTCGATTCTGGCCCTCGAATCCAAGCAATATGCCGCCGAGCAGGAGCATGTGTCGCCAGCGCGGTGACTTGTCGTCCGCACCCTCGGCTACGGCCTTCACCCATGCCTCGCGCTCTATCTTGCGGTTCCGACCGTATGTTGGGCGTGGTTCGTCGGTGTTATCATTTTGCAGGACTGCGATGGCGGCCGTGTTGAAGATGCTGAGGATCTTGCGACATGCTTGGAGGTCAACGGGGCCGTTCCATAGCGCGGGGGAACAGAGAAGCTGCGAGGAGAGGAGGCTTAGATTGAGCGGGTTGCCGAGAACTGAGAGGAAACTCGTTGCTGTAGGAAGAAGCCTGTTTCAAGATTAATTGATGCATTCGTTAGCCCGGCCCAGGTAGATTCGGCTTTCGCCGCGGCTGGATACTATCCATCGCATCGGATCAAATTGGCATGTGCGCAGCGCACTTACCCAGAGGCATCTTCTAAAGTGGACGCAGATTGTAAAGACCGCAGCAGCGCGGCCAGAGAGCGTTCTGTCGCCATGAATTGATCGGTACGATCGGGTGGATGGGGGATGGGGATCAGGATAAAAGCGGAGGTTGTCGAGATACATCAGCCATTCCCGGGGAGAACCCCAGACCACCGCATGACGCCCTGCCGAGGTCCGCCGAGGAAGTCCAAACAATGCAAACAAGCAGCACTTGACAGCATCGACCCGGAGATCGACCTACACTTACACAACACACCTACACCTACACCTACACCTCCAGCACACCTTCGACCATGCTCCCACCCCCTCGATAAAGCTGCAATCCAGCTCGCCACACACATCAATGGCAAACAACCGCATCCCAATAAACTACCAAGTCCCCTCCTTCCCATCACTCTACGACCCGCTCCCAGCGCACCACAAAGAAGCGCACTACCTCTACTACACGACCGATATCTGGCGCTTCACCTTATACTGGACGCTAGTCTTCTACGGCGCATCACATCTCGTCGTCGCGGGCTGTGCCGTTCTAACACACTTCCGAAATTGGAGCGTTATCTGGTTGGTGCCGTTTCTTTACAGCCTTGTTGCGGCTTTGGAGGGATTGATCGCTGGTAGTATTGTTGGTCTTGTGTGAGTGATCCCCCTATCACCTATGGATAGGGTAGACTCTATCCGTTATATTTAGTAGATCTGGAGCAGAGCTGGAGCTAACGGATACAGACTCGGCGCGGTCTATGAAGCAGGCAATTTCCGAATGTCGACTTGGCTCCCCATGATCTGGGGCGGCGTTAACGTCATGGTCTTGATCGTGACTAGTTTTCCTATGCAAGGTGGTCTTTGAATCACTAGGCTACATCCTGTACACTACACTGCACTGCAATATGCGAGTGCTTACGACTTACGACTTACGATTACGCCGCACTCTATTTTTCTGGGATTAACCAGACTACTGTATTAATAAACACGTGAACTACCGTTCAGACCCCGTGGGCCTTAAAAGTCATATATCATCCCTATGATACACCGAACAGAAGTTGAATTTGATATCCATGCAATGCCCCCGTGCCATGGCGATAAATCACCCTATATATACCTTCCTAACGCCTAGCTCCGAGTTCGAAATCCTAAGTCAGATCCATTTAAGTTCTGACACGCAGTAGTTAATCCAGGTGCAAGCAGGGAATTACTGCTTTCCTGTCTTGCCTCCCTCCCTAATGACCATCATCCTTTACCTACGTCCGCCATCCGGAGGGCCTCCCTGCAGCCCAGGTAGCCCGCCAAACCCACCCGCCATATTCTGGAGGTTGAAACCTGGAGGAATCTGGATCCCTTGCGCCATAAGCTGTTTCTGCAACTGCGCCATATCGACATTCATCGGTGGCGGGGGAGCACCGCCCGACATACCCGGAAGCATAGGAAATCCCGGAGGCACGCCTTGGTTAGGACCAGGACCAGGACCAGGCCCCGGGGGACCCCCAGGAGGACCACCCGGAGGACCCTGAGACCCCATAATAGCAGCCAAACGACCAGGATCCATTCCACCCATCGTTCCGGGAAGACCAGGAGGCGGAGGCGGGGGCTGAGCAGCCCCAATACCAGGAAGAAAACCAGCACCCTCATCCCCAGGACCACTACTGATACCCGGCAGCGAGGCACCACCAGGCCGGCGCTGGTCAACCAGACTATCAGCCTCATCTTGTATCTCCTGCTCCTCGTCCTCGCGCATTTGTCGACGGTTATTATTCCGATTGTAGGTCCCCTGTGCCTCGGCAGCTTCTTCACCTATATGGAATCGATCGTACATGTACCCCGTCTCACCGGGTCTAGTCCGCGACCAGAACCGCGTGAAATTATCCTTAGACCCAGACGCAAGGATGTGGCCCAGCGGATGCCAATCCAGCGACCAGATCGTCGCACCGTGCGCATACTGCACCTTGTGCGCGGGGAAAATGACTTGCGCCGGCGTATTCGCCGGGTCGGGACTATCGTACGGCGCGACGGTGGGAACTTGGCCCGTCGGCAGGTGCGGCTCGTCGAGTAGATAGTGGTAAAGCGAGCCGTCTTCTGCACCCGTGGAGATCAGATTGGGGTGAATCGGGTGCCAGGTCAGGGACGAGACGGGCTTTTCGTGGCCGCGCAGGATGCAAATGTCGCGCATCATGCGCAGGTCGAAGACACGGGCGGTCTGGTCGCGCGAGGAGGTGGCGAGGAGATTTCCGTTTACGCGGGAGAATCGCGTTGTGGTCACTGTGTTCTTGTGGCTGTGGAGGGTCGTGAGACAGCGCGCTGTGCGTGGGTCCCAGAATTTTACCTGGTGGTCTTTGGATCCGGAGACCAGGAGGCCCTTTGTTGGGTGCCAGTCGCATGACTTTACGTCCCAGTTGTGGCCGGTTAGGACGGTGTCGCAGGTGCGGGAGGTGAAGTCGAAGATTTTGAGGGTCGTGTCGTCGGAGGCGGAGAGGAATTTCGTGTCGCTGGGGGCCCAGCAGAGGTCGCGGACGGCGTCGTGGTGCGCGTCGTCGATTGTTTCGACGTTGTTGAAGTTGGGTCGCCAGTACTTGATGTCGCCTTTTTGGCCTCCGGAGATCAGCCATTCTTGACTATGTGACCAGCCGAGTGATGTGACACCTGCTTGCACTTGATCGTAGTGAGCCTGGTCAAAGGAGATATCTTAGCAAGGGTTCTTTGCGCAGGATGCGTGGGTGATACGGACATCCATGACGGTTTCGAAATTGAAGGCTGTTCCATTCCAGAGCATAAATTCACCCGTATGCCCACCGGTAAGCAAGCGTCGTCCTTCTGGGGTCCATCGCACCACGACAATTGGCTTCTTAGACTTTCCTATAGACTGATGAAGATGTCGTACGGGGATGGTATCTGCTGGTGAATGAGTTCGCGCAATTGGTGGTAGCATCTAGGTTCACGCGTCGAGTTAGTCAATGTTCGCTCCCATTCTCTCTGTCTATCTTTCTATATGTGCTCCTAGACAGAGGGAAGTGTTTTGCGACAGTACTCACGTCCACCGTGAAGCTGTGACTGGGTCGCTCAGCCTCCAGACGATGTTCGCCTTGGTATCGGGGTCGTCGCGTTCGCATCCACTGCACCATGGAGGACCCATAGTCGGTCACCAACCCTACAGGTTCAGATTGTCAGCGAGGGGTTCAGCAGCGTCAAGCGCAATCACAATAGGGCTCGCAAGGTAACGTACTAGGGCGCCGGGGTCCCGTCTGACCATTATCATAGTCACGGTTGTTCTTGTTATAACGACCAGAAAACTGGCCGTCATTACCTTCATCAACGAAGGACATGATGCGGACTAGAAGCAACCAAAAGAGATAGAAATCACTTCAAACATGACCGTAAAGTGGAGGAAAGTGTGAAGTATTGGGGAACTCTCATTGGTAAAGGGAAGAAAGTGAGAGAGTGAAAGCTCCGGCCGGACCTCCTTGAGTGAAAGGCGGTGATTGGCCTAGATTGCTTAGTATCCTCGCTATGATGCATTAACCTTCATTTCCCCCCGCCAACGTTGGCATTTGCTATTTTAGTTGGGATTTTATTACAGGGGAGGGGATAAGAGGTACCTTTGTATTACCTTTTCTCCTCTTTATCTTCTCTCTCTCTCTCTCACCACTTTTCATTTTCCCACTCTCCTCCTCCCCCACCTCTGGCGTACCTCCCCGGGTCACCTTCCTATCTCCGCATCAGTTCACTCCCCCGATTACCTCGGGAGAGCTGTTCACCATTTGAATCTTCATAATGGCCCGGACAGAGGCCCTTACCACCGCTAGAGAGCAATCCACCCAGACCGTTGAAACTCATGCAGATGCAGATGCGGCTGCAGCTGCACCGAGCTCCAACAAAGATACTACTACACCATCGGCAGCTCCGGGCAAGAAGCCACGCAGCTTATATCGTCATGTCGCTGCATATCATTCCGAAACACGGCACTCAAGTCTGAGTCGCGAATCAGATGAAACAATTAGCTTCTTGGGCTTTCGAAATTTGATGGTTTTGGTGTTGGGTAAGCTCCGATTCTATGTCTATCACATGTTATTTCCCTAAGCTGTTCAAATTGCTAATTTGAATATTCGATTCCCACAGTGGCCATGAACCTCCGCCTGATCATTGAAAATTTCATGAAGGTAAGTTATTAAAAAAAACAGCATTTGGCGAATGCGCCTGGACAGAATTGATTGGATTGCGCAAACGCCTCAATGTCTACCCCTCGCTCCGAGCCTGTCTAACATACATCCTAGTATGGCGTGCTCATCTGCATCAAATGTCACGATTACCGAAAACAAGATCTGGTCCTTGGGTCAATTCTCTTTGCTCTGGTTCCTTGCCATCTGTTCGTCGCCTATCTGGTCGAACTATCAGCAGCAGCATCTGCCAAACAGACAGTCGGCCAACAGAAGAGGACCGCAGAAGAGAAAGAACACGATCAGCAACGATTTCGCTCGACATGGCGCTACACGGCCTTCATCCACACCATCAACGCCACTCTGTGTCTTGCCGTGACTAGCTTTGTAGTTTATTTCTACATCCACCATCCCGGCATTGGTACGCTGTGCCAGTTGCACGCCATCATTGTCTGGCTGAAGAATTGCTCCTATGCATTCACCAACCGAGATCTCCGTCTGGCGTTCCTGAATCCCTCCGCGAACCCGAATCTTCCGGCCATCTATGCCACATGTCCCTATCCTAGAAACATCACTCTGAATAACCTGGCTTACTTTTGGATGGCTCCAACGTTGGTCTACCAACCCGTCTACCCGCGTACCCCGTCTATTCGCTGGCCCTTTGTGTTCAAACGCCTAGGTGAATTCGTCGTTCTGTCCGTGTTCATCTGGCTCCTATCGGCGCAGTATGCAGCGCCCGTCCTGCGCAACTCGATCGAGAAGATCGCCATGTTGGATATTGCTTCGATTCTGGAGCGCGTCATGAAGCTATCTACCATCTCGTTGATTATCTGGCTCGCAGGGTTCTTCGCTCTCTTCCAAGCACTTCTGAACGCGCTGGCAGAAGTGATGCGCTTCGGTGATCGTGAGTTCTACACGGATTGGTGGAACAGCTCCAGCTTGGGCGTTTATTGGAGGTCCTGGAACCGACCTGTGTACCTGTTCATGAAACGACACGTTTTCTCCCCGCTTGTGGGTCGTGGCTGGAGTCCACTGGCCGCAAGTGGCATGGTGTTCTCCCTCTCGGCCATCCTTCACGAAATGCTGGTCGGGATCCCGACTCACAACTTCATCGGCGTGGCTTTCTTCGGAATGATGTTCCAATTTCCGTTGATTATCCTGACGCTGCCCTTTGAGAAGAAGCGCGATCCGCTGGGCAAGACGATTGGCAATTGCATTTTCTGGGTCAGCTTTTGTCTGGTCGGTCAGCCTTTGGGCGCATTGCTCTACTTTTTCGCGTGGCAAGCCAAGTACGGGAGCGTGAGTCGAGCGAACCCTTAATCGTGGGTGTGCTCTGCCCCAACCCTCCTCAGGGTATCCCCGCATTTTGAAATGATACCAGGCAATCGAACCCACGTTAATCTAGCATGGATGTAAATTTGAAATAGCTTACCGCGACTCGAGAGCTTGTTGCCACATAGACAATTGACCGCTCTTTTCGAAATAAGCCAATTGCCGCATACAACCATGCAATGACTGCAGTAGTAGAACAGGCAACTGTGATGATGTGTCCAGTATCCGATCGAAAGCCAAAGAATCTTAGAACCAGGGCTTGGAGCCTCGCAAGGACCGAATCCGATCCCCCTCCCCGCCATGACACGGAATCGGGGCGATGGTTGCGCCGGCGCAGCGATCTTCCGCGTTTCAAGCTCTGCAGCTCCGCCGAACTCCGCTCGAAGCTATAAATGGCCCCATCCCCACAAACGCTACCTCCACTCGATAACATAGTTCGAAGCTCATACTACACAATACACAATGGTCGCAATCACTGTCCCCGATAACTATGGGTAAGTCTTCAATTCATACACCAGCCACATCGTTTCTAACCGGCTTCCTCCAGCGCCGCCATCGCCGTCGCCCTCGGCGCAATCCCCGTCCTCGGCTTCATCCACGGCAACATCACCGGTTCCCTGCGCAAGGCCGCCAAGGTCCCCTACCCGCACAGCTATGCCTCCCTCGAGCAGTGCAAGGAGAATGTATGTTGCTACCAACCGGAAACTTGTGCAAGCGCTACTATTGGAATCAATTAATCACTAACTACTGTCTCACTACAGGCCAAAGCCGAGCAATTCAACTGCGCCCAGCGCGCTCACGCCAATTATCTCGAGAACATGTCCCAGACAATGCTATTCACCCTGGTCGCTGGTCTGAAGTACCCCCAGCTCGCAGCTGGTCTTGGTGCCGCATGGGTGGCTTTCCGCACCATTTTCTTGTACGGTTATGTCTACTCGGGCAAGGCGCAGGGTAAGGGCCGTCTGTATGGTAGCGGGTTCTGGTTGGCGCAGGGTGCGCTGTGGGGATTGACTGTGTTTGGCGTGGCGAAGGAGCTGATGTCCTGGTAAAAGGTCCACGGGAGAAATTTAACGAGTAGATTTCTCTGATATGTCTTATGTATAATAATCAATATTCAAGTTTGTCGCCAATTGACAGTTCTTCTTGATTGGATTTGTGTCAGTCACGTGCCAACATAGGCACCGCCACACCCCGCATGTGTCAAATGTGGCGGATGTCCGCTGTGGCGCCTCAAAAAAAGTTCCCTTCCTTGGGATACACTTGCATTTACATTTACATCTACATTTCACTTCTGCGATCGCCCATTGCTGTTGCTTGACTCAATCCCTGTGGATTTGCAGAGCTTACTGGCACATTTAACTACTCTACAGTAGTCCTCGCCTGACTACGTACATCCACCTTCACTCTCATCCTCATCTTCACCCCGCCAACCCCGCCATCATGTCCTCCAAGTCGCAAATTCCATTTGGCACTCGTGCCAGCAGCCACCCCAATCCTCTGGCTCGCAAGCTCTTTGAAGTCGCCGAAGCCAAGAAAAGCAATGTCACCGTCTCCGCCGACGTGACCACCACCAAGGAACTACTAGACCTGGCCGACCGTACGTAATGGCATTGCTCTTGCTGCTGTTCCCAGTCTTGCGAGCCCAGACCTAACCCAATTGAACCTCCACAGGCCTCGGTCCCTACATCGCCGTCATCAAAACCCACATCGACATCCTCTCCGACTTCAGCGAAGAAACCATCTCCGGCCTCAAGGCCCTCGCGGAAAAGCACAACTTCCTAATCTTCGAAGACCGCAAATTCATCGACATCGGCAACACCGTGCAAAAGCAATACCACGGCGGTGCCCTGCGTATCTCCGAATGGTCCCACATCATCAACTGCGCCATCCTCCCCGGCGAGGGCATCGTCGAAGCCCTCGCCCAAACCGCCCAGGCCGCGGACTTCCCCTACGGCTCTGACCGAGGCCTCCTCATCCTTGCCGAGATGACCTCCAAGGGCTCTCTCGCCACGGGAGACTACACCTCCGCCTCGGTCGACTACGCGCGCAAGTACCAGAGCTTCGTCCTGGGCTTCGTCTCCACCCGCGCTCTGACCGACGTCCCCGCCAGCGTGAGCGCCAACGAGAACGAGGACTTTGTCGTCTTCACCACCGGAGTCAATCTCTCTTCCAAGGGCGACAAGCTCGGCCAGCAATATCAGACCCCGCAGTCGGCTATCGGTCGTGGTGCGGATTTCATCATTGCCGGACGCGGAATCTATGCCGCGCCTGATCCCGTTGAGGCTGCGAAGCAGTACCAGCAGCAGGGATGGGCGGCGTACCTTGCCCGCGTTGGGGGCAGCCAATAGAAAAGAAATTAAAGCGAGAAAGAAAAGGAAATGCACGACTAATTGAAAATTGGGGGGCTGGACTGGACAACCAAGCATGTACGGAGTAGAGGTCAGAAATAGAATATCCCTATGACGTTTTCTTTTCTTCGTTTCTTCTTTTCTTTTCTTTTCTTTTCTTTTCTTATGGACCCTTTTCGCCATACGGGTGCATCCTGCATATGAGTTTCCCAGGTGCATATGATATGAGATGAGATCATGAACATGAACATGAAAATGAACATGAACATGCACACATGAGGCCAGCCATTTCCCTCTCCGACCACACATTTCTGGGAATTTGAATATAGTTGGAGCTATAAACCTTGTCTACACATCATGCAATGCAGCCAAACCGTACCGTGCGCGAGGCAGTCGCACCAGTCCCATGGGAGATAGATTCAAGCAGATCCCAACAGACGATCCATCCTCTCAACTTCAAGTTGCCACATGGACCCATCAATGCAAGCATCGAAATCTAATTCCAAACCCAACACTTGGATTTTCCCTCCATTGTGACGGGCCATGCTCCACCCCCTAGCGTGAAGTCGGAAATGGGGCCACGCGATAAGATGCAATGCAAAAGATAACAGGGCCGATCAACGAGGTGAAACATCGTTCTCGACCACTGAGATAGCTAAACCCCGTCTCTCGCGATAGCTGCATGCAAGATAACCATTCCCACGACGGAATCTCAACCCGCTACCACATGTGCGGAAAATCCTTGCTTCGGCGTCGTCGGCCATGCGCCAACGCGACGCACACGTTCGGGCCTACATCTGCACGCCGAGCCATGACCGCACTTTGCTCTCACGCATTCAATAAGGCGGTGTCTGTCTTCAGCTTCAGCCTCTCTCCTCTCTCCCCTCTCCGGGGGTCTCTCTTCTCCTCATCTTGGCCATGATCTATCCAACTTAGAGCCGGAGCTCGGCTGTAACATGTAGCACGCACACACTGGCAGACACTCCGCGAATTGGGAGCTCCCTTTTGCCGATCTCTCCTCATTTTCCCCTCTTCATGATAGCCAATCGTCATCCGAAACATCCTTACCAAGATGCGCCAACCCCAGATATCCGGTGCTTATCGCGGGGAGGCTGACCCACTTGGACTTGCTTGATAGGAGAACCTCCCCTGGGCATTCCAAGAGCGGAAGAGAAAGAGAGAGAGAGGTCAGTGTGAGATAACGCCACTGGAAGACGCTCTGAAGATCCCCGTGTTACCATGCATCCCAAGCATGCGCGGATGCAGTGCATATAATTCCCCGTTCCGTCCTGAATTGCGGTGAATTTAAATTTGAATTCGAATTCGATTGACTTTGTCCTGCCTAGTCTTGGTCTTGGTTTTGCTCTTGGAGCTTTACTTAAACCTGGCTCTGGCTCCCCCTCCTCTCCATCCTTTCTTCTTTCCATAGCTCCACTTTGGGTACTTTACTACCTTACACAATGGCGGAGAACTCGGGAGATAGGATTGCCGTCGGCGCGTCCTCGGCCGTGGATGTTGAGAAAAGCGCTCATTCTGATCCGACGCTCGAGAAACATGCTCACGATGCCGATGAGGCGATGAAGGCTTTTGATGAGCTACGTGGGGAGGCTATTGAATTGGATGAGGCGACAAACCGCCGACTCCTGAAGACTATTGACTGGCATCTTATGCCGATTATGTGCTGCATCTACGGCATGAATTACTTGGATAGTGAGTACTGAGCCATTTGTCGCTTGTACATACCTGCATCACCGGATACACGGACTGACTGACTCTGCTTCTAGAAACAACTCTTTCGTATGCGAGCGTGATGGGAATTAAGGAGGACTTGAACCTTGTCAATGATCAGTACCAGTGGCTGGGCAGTCTTTTCTACTTTGGTTCGTGATAGCCCCGAAGATACATGAACACAGGTCTATTGTCACCTCTCCCAGATCACTTTCTGACTTCCCCTCAGGTTATCTGGCATTTGAGTACCCGACCAACCGCCTGCTTCAGCGTTTGCCATTGGGCAAATACTCCGCCTTCTGTATCTTGATGTGGGGTCTCGTACTGAGCTGCTTCGCGGGCGTCCACAATTACTCGGGGGCCATCGCTATCCGACTCTTCCTGGGTGTATTCGAGGCAGCCGTTACACCCGGCTTTGCCTTGCTAACTTCACAGGTAAGCAGATGAGCAAAATCCTATATCCTCTCCCACCCTAAATTAACACCTCGTCATAGTGGTACACCAAGAGAGAACAAGGCAGCCGAGTCAACATCTGGTTCAGCTTCAACGGCGTCGGACAAATGTTCGGCGGTCTCATCGCATACGGTATCGCCGTCGGAACCCGAAAGTACGGCTCCTCAATCGAACCCTGGAAAATCGTCTTCCTCGTCACAGGCCTCATGACAATCGCACTGGGCCTCGTCTTCCTATGGATAATCCCCGACAGCCAACTGAACGCCCGCTGGCTCAAAAAGGAAGACCGCATCCTAGCCATCGCCCGCGTTCGCGAGAACCAGCAAGGCATCGGCAACAAGCATTTCAAACTATACCAAGTCAAAGAAGCCCTCATGGACCCAATGACCTGGGCCTTCTTCCTCTACGCTCTAGTCGCGGACATTCCCAACGGCGGTCTGAGTAATTTCTTCAGCCAAATGGTACCTACCTGCCCCCTCCCCTCCCCTCCCCGCCCTTAAGACGAACCTAACACCATCCAGATCACCAGTTTCGGCTTCTCAAAAGAAGAAAGCCTAATCATCGGCGTCCCAGGCGGCGCCGTCGAAGTCATCGCCCTCCTCCTAAACGGCTACATGGGCCACATAACCAACCAACGCGTCCTCTGCAGTTTAGGCGGCCTAGTCGCCGCCTTCGTCGGCATGGTCCTAATCGTCGCCCTGCCAGAGTCAAACAACACCGGCCGATTAATCGGATACTACCTAACTCAAGCGATCCCAACCGCCTTCGTCGCACTCTTATCAATGGTCTCATCCAATGTCGCGGGCTACACGAAGAAAACTACCGTGGCAGCGCTCTACTTGATCGGATACTGTGTCGGAAACATAATCGGTTCGTTCACCCAGCCCAACCCAACCCACCTATGTAAAAATAAATAAAAAAAAGCTAACGGTACAACCTCCCTCAGGCCCACAGACATTCCGCCCACAGGACGCGCCGCAGTACCTCCCCGCCGAAATCACCATCCTCGTGTGTATCGGCGTCGCGCTGATGATCATGCTTTTCATTTACTGGTGGTATGTGAAGGAGAACAAGCGCAAGTTGGCGATCCAGTCCAGGCCGGATTATGTGCGTCTTGAGAATCAGGAGTGAGTCCCGTCCCTTACTTCCCTTTCGTGTTGCGGACGATCTTTTTCTGACGTGCGTCTTATCTAGATTCTTGGATCTTACGGATCGTGAGAATCCGGATTTCCTTTACTCGCTGTGATTGATGGGAGTGTGGAGATTGCTTGCTTTACGACTGGTGGTGATATCCGAGTCTAGGTATCACCCCCGCCTGGTTCGTGGTTGAATTGTATATAGTAGTTTCAAATGCTCAGTAACGCCCTTTTATGAATGCAATGTTGAATTGATGTTTCTGGATTTCAAAATTTGGAGATTGTGAACCTGGAGTATCTGGGATCTGGTCATTTTTTGGCTTAGAACGCGTTGTACTATTGGGAGTACTAGTAACTACCGTTTTCCAACATAAACCTTGTAGTATGATTATGTTGGGAGCTATATTTACCTTGGTCGAACAACCTAGGACCTAAGACCGACATTCTGGATCAAAGAAGTCCTTCTCTCACCAACGAAAGTGATGCTGGAGTCCCACCTGCCAGTGCGTGATGTTTTCCAGTTCATCGGTGCTCAATCTGATAGCCAAGGCAGCCCTGGAGAGATATACTCGTCCACCTGGGCATCCTACTCTCTTTCATCGTCGTCCCGAGGTCGTGATGACTTTAATCTTTTGCCCAGGTGATCCACTGCCCAACTCAGCAATACTGCGCTGGTTGTTGTCTTAATAATCCATAGCACATAGAATCCATCGCTTTTCACTTCACGCCACAGCGATGATAATTTGACATTATTGTGCTGGTTTTCATAGCTATAGCTAGATGGTTATGCTTTATAACCTTGGAATGTGAGAGGTAGCCCTTTTTTTACTTCCAGAACTTGAACATTCTAAGGTTGACATTCCGAGACCAAATATATTCCTGTACTACTAGTACTAGTATCTAGCAGGCAGGCTCAAGATTAAAGCCCAGGCCGCCTAATATTATCGAAACTTGAACAAACCCCTCATTACACTAAAAATATGCTCCCGGCCCGAGGATAATGATCGACTTGCCCCACACAATCTGTGAATGCCTCCGTGATTAGCCAGGAGAGAGAAAACCTTGACTAAAATATGCAAGCAAGATTTCTTTTCTCTTCGTACCCCAACCCCTCAAATACAAAATGGAGGTTTCCAGGGTTCATTGTCAACTACCCCGACCCAAAGATCCTCGGATCATGGATGATCGCCATCTCATCCCGCACAACGCCCGATCTCTTCCGATTCACCAGCTAAGGAAAAGTGAAATGGGCCCGCACCCACCGGGGCTAGACGCTGCTTATTAGCAAACGATTAGCCAATATTTTTGTACAACGGGGTAAACGGGGTAACCGGGGTAAGCCCTTGCTTGTCACTTTAAGCCTTGCTTCTTTGGCTTTTGCTGCTTTCCTTGGCTCTTGGCCCACTGCTCGGATAGTTTTACGTTATTGGGGTTGCGAGGCTTGACTCGCGATGCTAAGTAGTATGTAATACATTGATTTATGTAGCACCCATATATGCAGAATTTTTATAAGAATAGAATTGTCTCGCCCTCAGTGCTCTTTTCGGGGGTTCTGCAATAATAACTTCGAAAAGACGCACTGGGACGCTACGGAAGGTTGTCAAGCTGAATCGAACGAAAATGTCGGAGATATCGATTAAGAAAGTTGAACGACGCGATGATGCTGCCGTGGAAATGTCGTCTCGTCCTTACACTCCTGGGAAACACCTCGCAAACCCTGTAGGTTCCAAATTCCCATTCCCCGGTCCGCATGGTCAAAAGAAGAAATAAAAAAAGGGCTTGTTGCTAACAGATGGTTTGTTTAACTAGGCGCCATTAGCAATGGGCGGATTCGCAACAACCCTCCTCTCCGTCTCGCTGGCGATGATGAATTTCCGCGGCGTCTCGAACCAGACAATTTTTGTTGGAGATCTTTGTTTTGCAGCTTGCATTGGGTTATTGATTTCTGCGCAATGGGAGATGGTTCGCGGCAATACCTTCTCTTATACAGTTTTATCTGCCTATGGTGAGTTCTATCTAGCCCCCGAGGGAGTGAATATCCACCCACCCGCCATGTCTCGCCATCGTCTTCATTTTCTAACAATCCGGCATAAAATAGCAATGTTTTACGGTGGTTATGGAGCGACTCTAATTCCTGCATTCGGAATTATCGATGCCTACGGTGGATTTACGTCGGAGTATTATAATGCCTTGGGCTTTTTCATCCTTTGTAAGTTGGATCCGAGTTGACTGTTGACATCATAGCACTAGACTGCAGTCCATTGCATATTTCTTGCCTGATAGACCGTTATTGGCTAACTTATCCGGCAGTGTGGGGTGTTTTCAACCTCTTTTTCTTGATCGCCAGTATTCGACTGTATGTTTTTTCAACTCATCCCAGCGCCAGCCGTGTCTGTGAATGTCCTTCCAACTAACCCCCTTTTCTTCCAATTCAGCAACGTGGTTTATATCATCATTTTCCTCTCGCTCGAATTATGTCTCATCTTCGATGCTGCCTCCCAGTTCAAGCGCGCCGACGGCATGATTGAAACCAGCGAGACCTTTTCGAAGGTTGGCGGTGCTTTTGCATTTGTGGCCAGTATTTTCGGGTATTATACCGTGCTGCATTATTTGTGCCAGGAGTCTTTGCCATTTACTGTTGTTATGGGGGATACTTCCAGGTTCTTTGACAGACGTGCTCGGATTCCTCCTGCGGGTGAGAAGGAGAGAGATGACATTGTTTGATGGGCGCGGGCGTCTACAGTTTCGTGGAAATGGCCTTTCTGGTCATTTTTCTGGTCGCATTGGGCGCTCCAAAGGTTAGAAATAACCTTGAAATAAAAGTTAGATGATAGACGAGCGAGGCTAAGCAGTCCTCTATTTAATGTCCGTAATGGTGAATTTATTCATGGAATAAATAAATTCAATTCCAAGCTTTTCAAGTATGATACGAGTCCGAGTTATGATGGTCTATGCCAGCCTTGGACTGGGGTTCCAAGGTTTTATCCAGCGTATAATTTTATTAGTACTCAGTAGGCAGGCTGAGATCTGGAATGTCTCTATGGATCTTAAACTTGAATCTAAAAACATGAAATTCAATATGATAGGTATAATGAATAATCTTATGTGCTGTCAAGTATGGCATTTTCGGAACTCCCTCGCGAGTCATAGGCAGTCCAGTGTGGATTACCTCCCGAATAGGACTGCAAATGCGAACCACTCTGAGATTCCTTCGCAATGCCCCACATCATCTACTTCCAGATTAGAGCGAGTACACCATTCAACTCATTAGAAAAGTGACTCAGATATTCGGAGAGTTCAGCAGACTAGCTAAGATATCTTGAAGTTTGTAGAAGCCAAGTTTACCTCAGGCAAGCTTAATCTCATCACGGCCCTGGACCTAACATAATGACGGTGCAACATAATGGATTGATAGTTCATCCCTTTCAGAGTCGGTTTCCGCGGACGCCGGAGAGGTATAACCCCGCATTCTAGCTTGCAATTCTGATGATAAGAGGAAACTCTATCGTGGTCTATAAGTAGATAAATAGAGATACCTCCACCGAAATACTAGAGACGGCTTCGCATATGTGTCACGGTGGTGAACAGCTTTTCCAAGATATTAATCTACTATCAGACCGGGCCAAATAAACGCCAGTGTACAGCCATGACCACACGAGAGGGATTCTACGACCGGAAGGAAGGCTTCCAGCAAGGGCTTCCGTGCACGGCAACAATCACCCCACGAACTAACGTGCCGGCTCAAACATCGGACATATTCGATGTCATTGTAATAGGCGCAGGATACGCCGGCCTGATAACATGCCGAGACCTTTGTAACTCAGGTATGGTTCCCTTAGGCTGTAACTGTGAATAAACTGTCTTGAATGATGATACTAAATAAGCAACTGCCAATCAGGATTCAAGGTTCTTCTAATCGAGGCCCGAGACAGAATCGGCGGAAGAACATACACAGCCAATATTGACGGCCATCTTTACGAGATGGGTGGTACTTGGGTTCACTGGAACCAAGCTCATGTGTGGCACACAATGCACCGATATGGAATGACGGAGCTTTCAAGTAGTGCTCCAAGAGACATTGGCTGTCAAAGATTTACCGTGTCTGTCGATGGAAAGAAAACCGAATTAAGCCGACACGATGAAGTAAGTGATAATCTAGTACTAGATTATCCCATTGGGACTCAAGGAGAGCGGGGGCTGATTTCCATTTAGGAATCAATCATGCAAAGAGGATTTGAAGAGCTGTTCAATATTGACGGGCAAAGTGGTAGAGCATTGATGCCTTATCCACACGACCCGCATCATAATCCCGATATCAAAGCCTGGGAAGCGATATCCGCAGCCGAGCGGATAGAGAAAATAAAGCCGATTCTCAATGAAGTCGAACTGGCGACACTACAAGCGTCCATCGGAGCGATATCGGGCAATACCATGCAAAATACGGGCTTTTTCGATCTTCTCCGCTGGTGGGCTCTCAGTGGGTATAGTGCAGCCGGCGTTTTTGAGTTCACTGAGACCTATAAAATTGCAGCTGGACAGTCATCTTTTGCGCGGATCATCTTTGAGGAAGCCTTAGCAACGGGAAACCTCCGCTATACATTTGACACAGTTATAAGCACCGTGGAAGATAGCGGGACCCTGGTAAAGGCCACCACTTTATCGGAGACGAAGTGGCTGGCGAAGAGATTAGTTTCTACGATTCCGCTGAACGTTCTGTCTCAGGTCCAATTCAACCCCCCTTTACCACCCAAGAAGCTAGCAGCGACTCAAAAGGGACACATTAACTTTGGAGCGAAAGTGCATCTGGAGGCCGAGGGTTCGGATCTGAGATCTTGGTCTGGGGCCGCTTGGCCGAGTAAAAGGGTCTTCGCATGTCATGGCGATGGCCTGACCAATGCGGGAAAAAACACGCACATTGTCTGTTTCGGCTCAAATAATGAATTCGCGCATCCACGTGAAGACTGCAAGGAATTCGCAGCGGAAGTGAAGCAATTAATGCCTATGCAAATTAATAAAGTGGTGAGTTGGAAAAGAGAATTCCCAATGCATCACAGGCCGTGTTACTAATGGGGCTAGATCTGGCATAATTGGCTCAAAGATCCATTCTCACGTGGTACCTGGTGTGTCTTTCCTCCAAGCTACAGCTTTCAGTATCTTGAAGCCCTGAGAGAGCGACATGGGAATATTCTGTTTTCTAGTGCAGATTGGGCTCTTGGCTGGCGGGGGTTTATTGACGGAGCGATCGAAGAAGGATCACGGGCCGCGAAACAAATCATAGATGAATTAGGCTTTCCCAAGAGGATCGCCGGTTTACTATAGGGTTCATGCGGGAATGCTTGATTATCGAATATTATTGGGACAAGGCAATTCGAGACGAGGAACGCCGCTGCCAACGATGATCGTACTTTTGTCTCGGCGCTAAATATTGTTGAGAATTGACCGCAATTTCATTTACGGAGTAGCCCATCGATGGTCTGTTTACGGAGTAGGCTACCTAGTTTAATCTCTTTTAGTCAAATTAAGTGGCATTAGTTAGCCTGGAAAACAGTGCCTGGAAAATAGTGCTTGTTGGTTGAGTGCAGATGATAGATTGAATGTCTTGGAATAGTCTGATTGCGTCGTCAACAAACCCCCCTTTACCTGAGCAAATAAAAGTTTTAACCTTGACCCGCATGCACGAGGGTTTAGCATGTTTATTCTGCCGTGGAAAACTATCGTGACATTGGAAAGTTCATACTAGTCTAGCTCTTAAACCGGTATTTGACACACTCAGCATCATAATGATGCGTGATATCGGCCTGCTAGCGGTGTGAATCATGAACCGTGAACACTGTTAAACAGTGGATTAGACAGCGGTGGACTGTGCGAGTAGAAAATGCAAATCCACCCCACGTTGCTAAGCGTGCCAAGCACCTCTCGCCCGAAAATGCAATCAAGTCCGTTCGGTATTTGAAATCTCTCACACGCAGCCCATCAAAAATTGGCTACAAACCCGCACCGATCGGCCACTGAGACAAGCGCTGGACCTGCCAGAGTTCGTTAGTGTGTTGAAAAATTCTTGCGTGCGATCGGCAGGCCAACGCAGACTCTCCGCTAATTTAGGAAAAGAGAAGAGAGGATTTGTTCATTTGATGATGCCTTTTGTGGGGCGAAGGGCGGGGTGTACCATACATACTGGTTAGCCTGAGGTGTTAATTGTGGTACCAGGTGGAATGTCCCGCCCACGTCGCATCTTGACTGGAGTTCTGGAACGAGTTAGGGTGTTTAGGGTCCTTAGGGTGCTTAGGTCGCTGGCTTTGCTCCGTATAAGCCCTCCTGCAGGGACTGGCGGCGCCTGCTGTAACCCTGATGGTTAAAATAGTTGACGCGCGGGTCTAAATCAGTACCTGGATTGACATGGATTGACATTGCATCAACTGAATGGTAGCCGAGAACGGTAGAAATCGGACAAGGCAACCCAATAGGCATCCTGGATAGGACCAGGACACAGGGACCCCTGCGTCTTCCGTCACTGCAGGGGCGTTGGGAGACGATCCAGACCGTGCGAGGTCGGGGAGTCTGTACGGAGTAGTTCTTGGCTGTGGCTCTGGCTCTGGCCCTAGCTTTGGCTTTTTTCGAGGTGGAGGCGCTCGTTGCCCCCACCATCTCCGCCTGGTCCTGGTCCTGTCTTCCTCGAGGAGCGGTGTGCGCAAATGAAATGAATTAAAATGTCGATGTTGGGTCCCAGTGTCGTGCAGCCGTTCCTTTTCCCCCCCCCATCTTTATTTCTCGTGAGACTAATAATTTTGCTTAAATCAACTAGACCATCGGGGTACTTCCCCTTCCTCTTCTTCTGCCCCTCCCCTTCTTTCTTTATTCCCTTTTTCTTTTCTTTTTATAGACGGACGGTGCATGGTTGCATGGGATGCATAATGCGAGCTGCCCCTCCTGCCCAGCCCTAATATTCTTCGTCTCAAGTATCGATCGACAAGGCGCACTCTCTGTCTTTCTGCCGTTGGCCAGCTGCCTTTGTTTCTTTGCTCCTATAGGTCTCATTTAGAGAGCCTATAGAGAAGGTTTGCGAATGGCCGTCACATGGTGTGGTCGTGGCGATCTTCACATGGACGCACCTGCTGCAGCACATCCCTGTCTTGAGATCAAATCTCTGGAAACGACAGTTGTCGAGCTGCCTGCGAAATGCACTTCCCAGTCGCCCTCGAAATCGCCCTCTCAGCTTTTGCCCAAGATGGATATCCCTAAAGTGAAGAGAATCGACCCGCCATCCACCACCATCACTGCCGACTCACCACCTACCTCTACTGGACCACGGAGGGGTTCGCGCCCAACCTCTGCAAATGAATCAGCATATCACTCGCGATCCAACTCAAGCAGTACTGCTCGATCACGTCCTTCCAGTCGGCATGGTTCATTACATTCGTCGCGGAGGGCAGTTGCCAGTGCGAACATCGTTCCTGTCCCGTCCACTCGCCCCTCACCCCATGAGAGACGAGAGTCTTTGTTGGCACTCCATCGAGATTCGTGCCGTTTGTTTCAAGAAATCAACACATCTACAACATCTGCGGAAGATGCGCGCTCGGTTCCAGCCCTCTCAAGGTCCCCGTCATCGACATATACTTCCCGACGTGAAGGCCGTACTTCGTCTGAGACAGGCGGTTCAGCACCCCCATCTCCGGTTGCATCGTCACAATCCAGCCGTCGCTTTGACTTTGAGCATCGCAATTCAATAACCTCAATAATGGCACCGCTCCCTCTCCAAGCTCGAGACCGGTCGAATACCCTCCCAAACAAGACACCCGAATATGAGTGTGTTCAAATTCCATCTGCCTCCTCTATTCACGTCCCGGAGACTGTAACAGAGTGGACATCACCTTCCACTCGACGGGCAGAATATGAGAAGATTGACCGTGCAGGCCGCGGTGTTCGCGGCTTATGGCGTCGTGTCGCACCCCGCTGGTGTCAAGCTCAAGACGCAAGAACGCCATTCTTCAAGGAAGGAAACACCAGCCGAGAGGGCAGTGTGCGTCGATTCCGAATGGACCTACCGGATGAAGAGCTGGAAGATACCCTTCATAAGCAGCACGAGAAACCAGAGGTGCAAATATTGGATTTCCTCGGCAAGGGAATAGAAAATGGTCCTCGACGCTGGACATATCGTCGGACCAAGACTTCCCCTGCATAAGGTTTTTCTTTTCTTTTCTTTTTTTTATAAATCGCAATAGCGCATCGGCACTGGTGCCTCACGCTTTGCTTTCAACGCATCCATGACTACAGATTGATGAGTGGACTCCACTGCATTTGCATTGCATTGCGCTTGGCTTGCATACTCTATACCTACGCTTCCTCCTCTTCCCTTTCTGTGAATATTGCTCCCCCTTCCTTGCCACTAATTTCGAGCTCTCTGGATGAGAATAACCTGGTTTACCTTTTGCTTTCCGTTCATCATTCTTCATTGCATCACTTACCAAGAACTCAAGATACCCGACAATCAGCACCGTTGTACATACCAATACGATGCCGATTGCATATAGTTACCCGGCTAGCAACGACAATATCATCTTTTACTCCAGAAATCTTTAAATATTTATTAATATGTTCGTATTTATTGGCAGTACTTTGTACTTCGTAAATATTCCTAAAATGATTTAAAAGGACGATCACCACATAGTGCTAGTAGTACTAGTGGGGCCAGCGAACTGTGGTTGGCTCACCCAGTAGAGTGAAGGAAGTTCCCGTCAATACCACCCAAGGGCTAGTATGAATGAAACTTGAAACAGTTGGATTTCCAACTTAGATATACAATGAATTAATTCTATATTTTAGTTTACTCCCTAATCTAAAATATCAAGAATAATGATCAGAATGTTTATGTCTACCGAGGCTATAGTTCGTACTGCCGTGATTCACCGACCTTCATCCGGGTGAGCCGGGCGCCAACGAGGGCGTCAACTTGCAATGGTCAGCAACATCAACCACCCTCGTTTCCATTCTATTTTAAGCCTCACGCTTCAGGAACCTCGTTTATTGATTGCTTGTTGATATCTTGGCATACCTGTTTGCACCCGTTCATAGGACAGCCATATTTCACAATGGTATCCTCCCTCGACCCCTTCTGGGGCCCTCCGACATCCTACTTGAAGTACGTTCGTGTTGCTACCTAACTCCAAAACATGTTTCCTCCCCAATGGCTGTGAAAGATACAGCCTGAAACTGACTGGTTCTAGCTTCTGTGAAGAGGTATGTTTCCCCCCCCCTCCTATTTTGGTCGTGACTCTCTTCTTGGAACAAACAAAGAAAATACAAAAAAAAATACAAAAAAACCGGTATCTGACGCGGCCCAAATAGGATTATGTCATAACTCGATTTGTGGCCGAATTCATCAATACATTCAGTAGCTGTGTCTATAGTCAGTGCCACATATACTCCAGCTCGATCAAGCAGAAAACTAATTCTTATCATTTAGTTTGCTATGGTATCTATGGCCTGGTTCAACTCCGCCAAAAGCCCCAGGCTGCTTTCCGCTCCATTTCCTATTTCGGACTCATCGGAGTCGGCGTCTGTTCCGCTGGATACCATATGACCCTCAAATATCATACCCAAATGTGTATGTTTTAATCCAGCTCATCATATGCCTTCCCTGCCTACCCTGGGGTATCGGGTGTTCTTGGCTGACCATCAAATTCCAGCGGATGAGTTGTCAATGCATCTCCTCACTACGCCGCTTCTTTATCGCATATTATCATTCAAAGCCAGCCCTGATCGCGCCCGGCTGATTGGAATCATTCTATCCGTTCTTTTTACTATCGTTATGGTTGTTCACATGGTCATGGATGAATTCCTTCTCCATGCTGCGTCCTTCGGCTTGGCCGTTTACTTGATCGGCTCCCGAACACCCAAACTTATTCCAGCCCAAGTTACCGATTTAAAGCTGAGAAAGGCTCTTCGCTACCTTTCCTTTTTTGGATGCTGTATGTTGCTATACTTTATCAAAGACTAGATTGATAAGAATTTCGCTAATCATCACAGTCTGCTTCGGCTTTGGCTATTTCGTCTGGTTGATTGACGAATTCGGCTGTGGCATCTTGACGGGAGCTAAGCAAACTGTCGGACTTCCTCTGGCCTTTTTGTTCGAGTTTCATGGGTGGTATGTATACTTATTTACCGGAAGATCGTTATCAAGGCTTGCTAACTCAACATAGGTGGCACTTCTTCACTGCCATTGGTGGCTACATCGCGGTCGCGACTGTGGATCTTCTTACTTCCGGCGAGGCCGACGAGATCTCTAGTTCTTCTTTCGCCTGGCCAGTGGGCCCTGTGTTCGGAATCATGCAGGGCATGGTTGCCTCCGAGAAAGAAGTTTAATCGTTCAAGTTGTTGGGATCGAAGAGGTAACGAAGCAAGCTGGTCTCTGTGACTAGACATCATGAAGCGGCACGAGGGGAGGATGCCAGGCGATATGCAGCAGAGCATGAATACCAGAGTCTCCCGCCAGACTCAAAATTACCCATAGAAACGAACATGCAAATAGACTACAATCATTTTCAAAGACCGATATCATGCCTCACTTCTGACGCTTTTTCTCTGCCAAGGACTTCCCCCACTCCCCCCGCCCTGTCGATGACAGAAGGACCCACCGGGGAATGACTCTACTATTTATCTTCCCCTCCCTCCTGTACATGATTTTTCTTTTTCTGTTTCTTATTTCGCGAATATCCATGCCTCTATTTTGAATATTGGTCATCATGCGCAGTCAGGCTCAAGAAACCGATTTTGAACTAGCCGGGCTTAACGCCGGATCTGAGAACCCACCACTGGCAGATACTGCAGTCTCACTTGCATTTCCAGATGGCGGAAAAGAGGCATGGACTTGCTTACTAGGCTCAGCCTTGATTTTATTTCCATCGTTTGGATTTCAAACCGCCAGTATGTATATTGCCTGCCAAGAATTCCCTCGCCGTCATTAACCCGCGTCTCTGTAGTTGGATCCGTCCAGGACTATCTCAGTACCCATCAACTAGCGGATTACACGGTTAGAGACGTGGGCTGGATCACTGCGGTCCTAGTATTTCTCACTTTATTCCTGGGAATCCAGGTTGGCCCACTATTTGATCGATATGGACCTCGCATGCTGTTGATCATTGGGTCACTCGGTAGCACCGCCTCGTACTTCCTGCTCGCCGAGTGCACGAAGTACTGGCATTTCATGCTATGTCTCAGTGTACTGGGCGGTATCTCTTCAGCAGTCGTGACAACAGTTTCCATCTCCGTGTTAAGCCACTGGTTTTATAGACGGCGTGCACTCGCTTCTGGCCTCTGCATGTCCGGCTCATCGGCTGGCGGTGCAATCATTCCCTTGCTCCTGCGAACACTTTTCAAAGAATACGGCTGGACGTGGTCGATTCGGATCATCGGGTTTATGGCACTTGGCTGCTACGCAGCTGGAATCATGCTTGTGAAGGGCCGACTGCCGATGGTTGGCGAGACGAAAGCCATTGTCGATCTCCGTGCGTTCAAGGCGCCAAGACTGTGTTTTCTTGCGGTGGCGGTGTTTGCTTTTGAATTTATCATCTTTGGCTGTGCGGCTCTTCTTCCGACTTATGTTCGCTACTCGGGTCTCGACCTTGATGTTCAGTTTTACTCGCTCACTGTGCTGAACAGTATGAGTCTGGTCGGTAGAGTACTACCCGGTGTTGCGGCAGATCTATTTGGTCGATTCAACATCCTGTTGACTCTGGCGTGCATCACTCTGGTCATCATGGGGAGTGTTTGGATTCCCTTCGGGTCTCAGAACGAAGCGACGCTGTATGCGGTTGTCGCCATCTTTGGCTTCGGGTCGGGCGGTTGGGTCTCTTTGGCTCCTGTCTGCGCGGGCCAGCTTTGTCGCACGGAGGAATATGGCCGATTTTACGGCACAATATACTCCGTTGCTGCATTTGGAGTGTTGTTAACGGTTCCTGTTGGTGGTGAGCTTCTTCAATCGACGACACCCCAAGCCCTTGTCGGCTTTTATGCCGCAGTCCTTCTCATTGGGCTTATTTCTGTGGGTATGTCGCGATGGGCACTGCTTGACTGGAAGTGGAAGTGGAAAGTAAAAGTCTGAAAGAAAGCGGAAGCAAAAGCAGCAGGCCAAAATATCACAATAATTTCGTCAATTGTTCATAGCGCCGGTAAATTATAGAATGCATAAGCGCCGGGTATATCAAAACAGAACCCAAAATGCCTTTTTTTTCCAGAGACGGAGACAAACAAATGGCCTTTTCCGAGCCTTCCGTGCCCCGCTGCCGAGCTCTCGAGTATTCACATTTACAACAGATCGAAGTCGTCCAGCTTGTCGCGGTATTGCATAATGTTGCGCTTGATCTTGCTGGAGTCGACCCAGGTGACGAAGTCCTCCATGTTGCGAGTAACCAGGAAAGCGGGATCGTTAACGACTTCAGTTCCAACGCGGACGTGGCCTTGCTCGATGAAGGTAGTAGCCTATTCTACCAGTTAGAATTCATATTCCTTTGTTTTTCCCCTTCTCCTGCACCACCCGCACTTCGCGCGTGGTTCAAAAACTTACAGCCTTGATAGTCTGAACCATCCTCGTGCGCACCATCAGCACCGCCAAACGTCTCCGGCAGAGAGCAGACACAGTGACCTCTCTCTCAACACGGGACAAGCCCGCACCCTGCTCACGAGACTGCTTCAGGATTCCCATGCGCCACAACTTCTCCAACAGCTCGGACTCGAGTTTCCTGCGGACGGGGTCCGACTCCGGGTCTAGCTGAGAAAGCTTATGGGCGAGCTGGCGGAGGGATCCGCACATGGCGTTGTACTTGCGGTAGTCCATTGGGTCTTGGAGGAGGTAGCGCTGGCGGATCTCATGTTCGCGGTGATTTCCGTCGGACTTGTAGGTGTGGAAATCGACCTTCCGGAGAAGTCTGTAATGGGAGCTTGTCAACGATTGTTCTTGCCTCGTCGCAAGCTTGTGCTGGCGGTGGCTCTGGGCTTAGGGATGGCGAAGAGTGCGTGGCCGGACTTACTTCTTCTCGTGATGCTTGAGCTGACGGACCATCTTGTAGAGGGTTTCGAGGTTCGGTCACTCGAAAACGGGGATGCTCAAGGGTTTTTTGCGACTGGAGCGACCGAGTTGGCCGTGAAAAAAGTCCGCGATAACAAATTTGTTATCTAGGCGGTGTACCACATTCTGCCACTCTGCCATCACATGGTCACATGACTTGGATCTATACTGAAAGCAATGATCGAATTCTCAAAACTAAATGCCATAAAATAGGATAGATTGATAGATATTTAAGTAATTATTTTATTTCGGACATCCCAACGTCAATGAAAGAGGTTCATACTAAAAACTCGCATTAATTCTAAGAAAAAAAGAACAAAATGAGTGGAGTAGTAAAATCGATCATGCAAGAGAATTGTATTTTTCAAGTAAAAATTGGAGGTCAAAAAGTTCAGACTGCTTAAAATTGACCGTCTCAAATATCTTAGCTCGAACCCGTATTCCTGATATCGGCAATCTTCTCACTCAGCGATCGAATGTTTTGCGCCCCCATGATGTCCAACACAGACACATCCGCGCTAAGCTCCTTCTTAACCCACGAGCGAAATTCCATGGCAACCAGTGAGTCAATGATGTTGAGACCAAATCTCTGAACATCGATCTCAGAAACCGGAATGGCAAGAAGTGCTGAAAACTTCTGCACAATCCCATCCGACACCACTTCCACTGCCTCGTCAAAGGTACTTGTGGATGCTAGAAGAGCCGCAGTGCTAATTATCTTTTCTTCGCCCATTTCATCCTGGCTTACTATTATAGTAGAGCGCTGATGCGTGAATAGCGAATATTTCAGGTAAGGGGGAACCTGAATACCGTTCTGACGGCATAGCTCTGCTGTTGGCAGACCAAGAACCAGTTGCGATACCGGCTGGCCCGCATGATTCTGCCCTTTGTCATGACGTGAATCGATCATGAATTCAATCGCACTGTGGACCTCGCTTTCTTTGAGTATTTGATAGAGGTTTCCCAGCCGGCCTGCCTCATTTTGAAGATTCTCCTCGACCCAACCGACATTCGATACACTGCCGAGGTCGATGACAGACGCCTTCATGCCACGAGCGATGCGATACGCTGCAAGCGCATCTTGGAATGTATTTCCTGCCGCATAATTCGCCTGACCACGATTGCCAAAAATCCCGGATACCGAGGATAACATGACGAAGAAGTCTAGTTCAGACGGAAGAAGCTCGTGCAAATTCCACGAGCCTGTGACTTTGGGTTGAATCGCAGCTTGCCAGGTATCCAGGGACATTCCCTCAAAGGCTGCGTCCTGAATAAAATGTCAGTATGATATATCACGGTTTTATTATTGAAGAGCCTGACATACTTTTAGAACCATGGAGCATTGAATGCATCCTTTGATGGGAGGGAGTATCCGATGGCAATCGTCCAGTACGGTGCGTAGGCGACATCGATCAACCAAGTCACAGGCAAAGATATGAGCGTCGCATCCGAGCCTTTCAAGTTCCGAAACCATTATTTTTACTGCTTCAGAGTACTTATTCGACCGTGACAGGAAAATTAGACTCTTCGCACCTTGCGCAGCCATCCAGAGAGCGGTGCTACGCCCCAGCCCACCAAGGCCCCCAGCAAGAATGTAAGACGCCTTTCCATCGAACTGGAAACGAGATAATTGTTCTGGAACAATGGGAATGAGGTCGTCTGGGCCTGGGACGAAAACTATTTTCTCAGCAGCTTCTTCGCTTTGGAGAGTCTGAATGCCGCGCTTTATTTGAGAAAGCGGCAGTATGTTGAGAGGCTGGACCTGTCTGAGCTTTCCTTCAGAGTACAAACAGAAGATCTCTTCAATGAGTTGTCGAACGATACTTGGTCGATGGCTAATAAGGATTTCAAGATCAATGTTAGAAATTGAGAGCGTTCGAAGAACTGATGCAGGCGCCTGCGTCAAATGTAGATGGGAAGTATTTCCTGACACATCTATGAAACGACCAAATTCTTTGATGCATGAAAAGGACTCTTGCTGAACTTCACCCGTAAGTGTATTGAATATGACATCAACTCCAGCACCATTGGTACGTCTCATGAGGCTCTTGGAAAAGTCGAGACTTTTGTTAGAGAAAAGGTTAGCTTCGGGTATTCCATACACATCAGTCAAAAATGCCCTGCTCTCAGCGGTGGAAACAGTTGCGAAAATATTGGCCCCAATCAACTTGGCGTATTGGATCCCAGCTTGACCATAAACATCCGCACCAGCATGAATCAAGATTGTGTCACTGGAAGATAGCTTCGCAACGTGTCCGAGGCCATATATTGCAGTGACAAAAGCTGCTGGCAGACTGGCAGCAGTCTCCAGGGGGATATTATCTGCTATCTTGATAGCAACCGCCTCTTCAATTCGCGCAAAAGTCTGGAAAGACTTATCACCAGTGCTACTGACCAGTAAAACCACCTTGTCGCCGGTGGTCAGGCCTTTCACTGCGGGTCCGACCTTGGTGACAATGCCAGCCGCCTCGATAGGTATATTCAGGCTATCAAAGCTTGAAGTCACACCAATGGCACGAATCTCAACTAGGATCTGGGTTTCGGGTAGTGGATTGAAGTGCTGGAGATCAGTGATCCAACGTGGATCGATTCCGGGCGCGAACTTCTCCAAGCAAACGGGGCGCTGGATATCATTGATGCGTAGCAGGTCGGGTGGAGGGGCTTCAGATTGCAAGGCCAAAAAATTGTTCGCAGCATCGAATGTTCGAAGTCGACCAATATGAATGATGTCGTCCCGTAGCAAGTATTCAGCGTGTCTATCATCCCTTTCGTTGTTGGTGAACTGATGCTTAACAATCCCACAAGTCCAGACTGCCACATCCTCGGGCGGGACATGCTGACAGTCTGAAACTGTAAGAGTGACAATGTTTGAACCGTCAGAATCTCTTTCCGAACGAATGGTGCGGAGTAGACCCAAGCAAATACTCGCAAGTGGCAATTCACTTGAGTCCGGAGTAACCCAAAGCAAGTTTTCACAACTCATCAACATGTTTTTTAGTGCGTTGTACTCGTTATTCTCAATGGCCGTGAAAGTTGGGCTCTCGATATCGGCGAGGAATATACACATGGAGCCTTGTAAAGAAAAGTGAGCAAGCTCGTTGAGTTTTAACGTGATAGTGTTATATGTTCCAGCGTCCTCAAGAATCTGGGTTATACAATCGGCGATGTCGAGTGTTTTTGGTCCGGAGGATACAATATAAACATTCTGTGGCGTCTGCTTCACATATTCGAGAGCGGTGGAAATTATGATACTTTGCCAGCTCATATCAATATTTTCGGAAGAGGGATACTCGATGTCAACACCAGAGAAGCCTGAGTCAACGAGTAGTGGCTCCCAGGCGGAAACGGGAATATAGGGGCACCATCTTCGAATGGGCTCGTCTCCAAGCCACCAACCGGGAAGTTGACCGAATGCAACTGGGTACCATAGAAAGTCTTGTCTTACTCCTTCTTGCATGATTAGCTGTCCTCCAGGACGAAGTAACGACCGCAGTCTCCGCAATGTTGCAGTAAGATCAGAGGTGGCATGGATCACATTCCCAGCAAAGATTAGATCGTAGGAGTTGGCCTCGAGACCTTGAGCAGCAGGCTCTTCTTCAAGATTGAAGACTTCAAACTTCATAATTTCTTTCCAGAGGTGGAATCTATCTTGAGCCTTTCTGAAGAAAGCTGAAGATATGTCTGTAAAGGTATAACTTGCAATACTCCCATTCAGTGTGTCACATCCTGGTGAGAGCACGTCAAGAACCTCCGCAGTCAAACTTCCAGTCCCCCCCGCCAACTTCCAGAATTTGCAACTGAGACTTTTGATGGCGAATCAAAGACAGGTGGCTTCTAAGGTATTGAGGCAGATTGTCTAGACGAATGATCTCGTTGTATAACTGTTCCATCAGGCGATCTTCATCGAACATCAAATGCAGTGGATCTTCCTCCTGTCGTATAACAGACGCAATATTTCGTCCCATTCGAACCGTCAGTGCGCCTGTCGCATTCTGATTTGCAACTTCTTCAAAAATAGCGTCTCTCAGGAGCTTGTCATGCAAGCATGTTTCAAACTCGACAAGCGACAGATGAATGATCTTGTCACTTAAAAGATTCCCTTGTATATGCTGCATCCAGTTAAAGAACTTGCGGAGATGAGGTTGTAGGGTCTCAGTATCAATTTCCCCCAGCGTGCTCAATGCCTCGATGACAGATATCATGGTGACCAACTGGAGACGCTTTACCCACAATAATTCCTCATCGTAGTCTGTGGGGCAGACTTGGATCTGAGCCAGCGTGCATGCTGTCTCCGAGTCCAGGAAATTAACATCTGGCTTCCATTCAATTGTGTTGCAAACCTGACACCCAGGAGCATCTTCCATGTCCTTGTCGAGTGGTGTGAGCTCAATGTCACTCATGTAAATACAATGAGCCTTGGAACTGGAATCGAAAATTCGTATTTGACCTTCAAATTTCTCAGAGGTTGAGGGTTGTACCGATGCACATCCCTCGAATCTATGACCAGGAGTAGAGTTCAAATCGGCAGATACCCACATATCGCGGATGAATGTTGGAAGTCTGATATTTTTGAGGGAAGGCTTCCTAGTGAAATCCATCACAGCTGCGATCATCATGTGGATCATGCTATCCATTGTGGCGGGATGAATTAGGTGCGGATGCGCGTAGTGCTTTGGCATAGACTCTGCAATATCGGGAACAGTCACCAGGCCAGTCATCTGCCCCAACTGGCAGTCTGTGAGCCGCACATCGTGAAGATTGCGGAATAGTGGACCAAACTCCAACCCCGATTTTCGAAGCGCGTCGTACGAATTCGAGAAATTTATCGGACGGTTGCAGGTCTTGTGAACACTGTTATACCTGCGTCGCAATTCTTGGGCTTCGGTTTTGATTTCTTGAGAATTGCTCAAGGGGTCGTCCGATGAGCTTTCATCAACCGAGATGAGACCAGTACAGTGCACTGTCCAGTGCTCACTTGCCTCATTGTACGAACTGACATTGAACCGGCGCCAAACCCTGAGCTCAGAGGAGGATTCGGTCGACATTGAGACGCAGACTTCCATTCCCTGCTTGGTGTCCGGAATAATCATTGCTCGACGAATGGAGACTTGGCGTAGGTGGAAACCAGTTATGGCCTTCTCCCCAACCAACTGCCGCGAAGCTTCAATTGCCATCACGAGATAGCCTACACCTGGGTAAACATGGTTCCCGGCAATCTAAAAATCATGAGCTGAGATCTGAATTTGATAGAGTCTTCTTGCTTACCACATGGTGCCTTATCCAGGGATTTTCTTCCAGTCTCACGAAATGTCTCCAACGTGGTGCATTGGCATCCCAATCCATTACAGGAGCGCCGAAAAGATCATGACGCGGGAACTTGCGAAAGCGAAGATTTTTGCTCAGTCGACTTTCGTAAAGTATCCTTTCTGCGTGCTTGAAAGAGTACGCCGGAAGATCAACCAAAAGCTTAGCCTGAGTATTTGGGTACTCACAGGAAGCCATGTTGACTTTGTGGATGTCAATTTTGTATCCACCGCTAGAAAGAAAGCCAATCAAACTAAGTAAAGGGGTCAAAGTTGGATCAGTTCGGTTCAGAATGGCAAGGTATTTGGCCTTTCCTTTGCTAAACTCTGACGACAAGGTATCTTTGATCGCACTTTGCAAGGTCGAATGGGGTCCTATTTCCACAAAGTATGAAAGGTTGGAGATTCCACCGGACTCAATATGTCCTGAAGACAGAACGCCTTTCATGCCGTCGGTAAAACGCACAGGGGAAACCAGATTATCCACCCAGTATCTGCTCGGCAGGGGGTCTTCGTTTAACTCTTCTCCGGTGAGAGTCGAAAACATACGAACTGGGTGTGGTAACACAAGGTATCTGCCAAAGCCCAAGCTTCCCATAAGCTCGAGGTATTCATTTGAAATACTTTCCATATGCGATGAATGATAAGCATTTCGAACCTTGAGTTTCCGCGCGAGCACGCCGTCGTTATCCAGTATGGCCTTTAACTCGTCAATAAGAGCTGCGCAGCCTGAGACGGTGTTGTTTGTAGGACTGTTGGAACATGCAATCCTAAGTTCGCCTTGGAGTCTTTCCCGGACGGATTCGATATGGCGGTTCAATTTCGACTCCTCCAGACGTACGGCCATCATTGCTCCATTTGCTGACTGCTGTCTAGACGAAAGAGCTCCTCGAAGATAGGCGACCTTCCATGCAGCTTCACGCGAAATTTTGCCAGAACAATAGGCCGCTGCAATCTCACCTGATGAATGGCCAACCACTCGTGTCGGAGATATTCCCCAGCTAGCTAGAAGCTCGACCAAGGCGACCTGAAGTGCAGTGCAGAGCGGCTGTGCGATCTCAGGAGAGTCAACCTTTGACTGTGACTCAATTGCTGCGTGTTCCACTAAGATGTATTAGCCCGGACCTCAGAAGCTCTTATCACGAGATCGTTCTTACCAAGCAGTGACCAGCCACTTCCAAGGCTTTGAAAATAGTCGGAAGCCTCCTCCATTGCACGTCTGAATACTTGGTATTTGAAAAGCGATTTCCCCATTGCGCTGTACTGCGCTCCCTGTCCGGAAAAGACGAAACAGACGTCTGGGGGCAACTCCGCCCTGGTCGGTTTTGTGAAATTCCCCTCCACCAAATTCCACTCGAGTTCTTTGGCAGTGGAGGCCATTAAGAAGCTCTTCCAAGAAAACTTGGAGCGCCGTGTCGAAGTTGTGAAGGATAGATTTCTCAGTAGGTTGCTGCTTTGCGCTCCAAAAGCATTCCGCTTTTTGACATAACAGGCATACGAAGATGCAATGCGCTTAACGCCATCTTCGTCAAATGCAGTGAGAAGGAAAAGTTGTTGATTTTCCATTGGCACTTCTGGAATTTCGCGGACTTGGACTGGCTTGATCAAAGGAGTTGTTGCACCGCTCTGGACGAGGGGTGTCTGAGCGATGGGTGTTTCACTAAAGTCGACCTCGGTATCATCGCTGTCAGATTCAAACCCAGTAAGCGACATGTTCAAACCCCCATCAGCTTCGGGAAGAAGTGAAAGTTGACCGTGCAGTGGTTTAAATGGACGAATTACGGTGCTAGTGTTGTGTGAAGCTTCGAGGCCACGCTCATCAAGATAATGGTAAGCATCATCAAGGATACAGTGTGCATTTGTCCCTCCAATTCCGAATGAATTAACTGAAACTCTTCGGAGACCAGAAGTGGGCCAAGGGATGCTTTCCGAAGGGAAGTCAATATTCCATTCCTTCGCCAAAATCTCAGGATTCACCTCCTGCAAATCGTGGTTCGCGGGGATAATACCGGACTCAAGGATCAGGATGGCTTTCGCGAGGCTTGCCACACCAGAGCATCCTTCCGTATGGCCAAGAGTTGATTTTAGTGACCCGATATGCAAAGGCCCATCTCGTTGACACTCAAATGCCTTCGCAAGTGCTTTCACTTCGATGGGATCACCGATTCGGGTTCCAGTCCCATGAGCTTCAACAAACCGGGTATCTTGCATAGTCAGACCAGCTCGCTCATAGACTTTTCGTATCAGAGATTCTTGGGCCTCGCCACTAGGAAGAGTAATCCCGGATGTCCGACCATCTTGGTTGACACCTGATTCACGGATCACTGCGCGAATCACATCTCCATCTCTTATCGCATCTACTAGAGGTTTTAATATCACAGTGCCAACCCCTTCACCACGAGCATATCCCTCAGCACGAGCGTCAAAGCTGAAGGAGCGGCCTTGGGCACCAAGAAGACCATGGTGGCTGTGACCAGTGGTCTCGAGCGGGTTTTCAAGTATACTCACGCCACTCACAACAGACTGGGAGCTTTGTCAGTATACTCAGTACGATCCGTGGGTGAGAAAATGACATACCATGGTTGTCTCACGGGATCGTAGGCTCTGGACAGCCAGGTGCAGAGCAACCAGACTACTCGAACAAGCCGTGTCAATAGTCATACTGGGTCCTTTAAAATCGAAAAACCAACTGACCCGGTTCGAAATAATCGAATTCGAGGCACCAGTAGGCTTGTACTTTACGGTCGTCTCGGGATCTGAGTTGAGGATCCCCAAATAGTCATGATTGAACCCACTGACGAATACTGATGTATTGGATCCGATCGCACGGGCCAAGGGGACGCCGGCATTCTCGAGACCATGATACACGTTTTCCATCACCAGCCTCTGTTGTGGGTCCAACGTGAGCACCTCATTTTTTGTAATGTTGAAGAAGGACGAATCAAACTGGGCAGGGTCCTCAGCGAGGAAGTGCCCTCCCTGGACATGGAGCTTTGAAATTGCTAGCGTTAGTAAATATTACCCCCTCTAGAGATCCCAACAATTTATGAAGAAGATAAAAAGAGGGCAAAGGGAATTTTCAACGTACCGTGCCTCCATGTTCAGGATCTGGATGATAAAATGCCTCGGAGTTGAATCGTTCCTTTGGAATGGGAGACCATGTAGAACGGGCCTCTAGCAAAATGTCCCGAAGATCTTCCATTGAAAGAGCATCCTTTGCAAATCTGGCAGCAATACCAATTATTGCAATAGGCTCGACGGCATCTGAAGCAGGATCGTCGAGATGCCACGATTTTTCTGACGATGGGTTCATGATATCGTTTGAAATGAGAACGGATGAAAGGTTTCAAGGATATCCCGCGTAGCAAAGCACCTAAGAAAGCGAGAAGAGCTACAAGAGATAAGTTTCTTTTCTCGAAAATATTTTCAATTATAAACGAGACTGGGAAATAGAGATCATATATCGAAAAAAGGCACAGCTAGTAGGTGCAATGCGAGTCACAGCTGGGAGGGGCTGATCAGTCGGCTGGGATGAATCCGTTCACAGCACTCAATTTATTGATTGGCCGGTTGAATTGTCCATTTCTGGCACCTCAGTTTGCTCGATTACTCCATCAAAACCGCATTTCTTATCAAAAGTACGCGTTATTTCGCCGTTATCTGTCCTAGGTTCTTGCATTGGGCGGGGGTGAGGTTAAGCCCACGTCATAGCGAAATCATTCCTTCTTTCCTCTCGAAGCACCCGCCCATCTATTCGGGGTAGTGAGTATTTACTTTTGGGGTCACCCAATCTCGACCCAATATTGAAGCAGACCAGGGCATCGGGTGCATCTTTTTTCCGGTTCCCTGGACAAGCGGGGAAGATTGCGCCAGTATGCATGCCACCGCATGAACGCCCCCAATAGATCTTTGTCGACGAATAGCATTGCCTGTCACTCAACGGCTGCATCGGCGGATATCGATTCTCGGAATCCCTGTCAATAAGCCCCTCTTTCATGCCCATAGACCACCTTGGTGGGAGAGTATGCTAGGGCGACTCGACAAAGGCCCGGAATAGCCAAAGCATACGTGCTTAAGGGTATGGCCCGGCCCATGACCGAAGCTAATTCGAGAAGAAAAATCCTCAATGCTGAGGTTTCACTAACTTTACCCTTTTCGAACGAAATAGAAGCGCAGCCTCGCCTAGGCTACGTATTTTGGACAAACAAATCGATCTTCTCCACACCATGGATCCTTCCGCTAGCTGGTTTAACGCCTGTCCAACCGTTCGAGGGCAGTGCCCGTGGCAAACAACATACGCACGATGCAGAGTCTAGGACTTTAGCGTGAGATCCCATCAAACTATTCATGCTGTCCCACACCTCAGAGCTAACCATACGCCTGTGTTTGGCCGTTGCTGCAGCTAAAAAGCGCCACCCAACATCAAGAAGTCACAATCCACGAATAACGTCTCGTTGGTCTAATTCAATCGATCGCCCAGCCGCGAAGGATTGCTCCGCTGGCACATTCTCGCCACCACGTGAACGGTGTGGATGCAGCCTAGGTCACTCTATTGTTGACTCGCGCAAGGTCAGCTATTCCAAAATAGTCAACAGACAAGGATGAGAACGTGCTAGCTGCAGCCAGAGGTTTCCGCTTCCTTAATCTGAAGCTCATTATTCGGCATATGACACGCCTGTCTCCTCTTTCCAATGTTACCTGAGCGCCAAAGCTCCGAGACGGCTCAGCTGTGAGATGGCAGACTGTTTCTCAACCCATCTGGCAAACATCAACACTAGCAGGGTAGCCGGGGTGTAAGTGGGAAGCTACGAGAACCAACACACACCGAGGCCATTGAGTGGACAGTTGCAACACTGCGGTGGAAACTTATGTACAGGGTGCTTCGCTTTTCTTTGTCTTTGGCGGGAACTTGCATCCGTCCGGGACAACGGCCTAAAATCATCGTCAAGAATGGGACTTTCTTTTCCAGACATCTTCAACAAAGCAGACCGTGATCCTGAGCTGGATAATGTTTCCGGAACAAAGAAACAGAGCTGATAATCTACAATGTCCATAAGGGGAACCTTGGAATATAACACATAATAATCTTCATTCTGACAGCGGGCAATCAAGCACGAAGGGCTCTTTGACGTAGGATTGATGGTATATGGAACTTAGTAAAGCTTACAAAGCATTAATAATATCATCAGCCGCCTTTTCAGCCACCATATAGGTCGAAACGGCAGTGAACGTTCCAGGGATACGTGGGTAAACCGACGCATCAACAACACGCAGCCCCTTCACACCACGCACACGGAACTTTGAATCCAATACAGCCATAGGATCGTCATCAGTTCCGATAGGGCATGTGCACGAAGCATGATGGCCCCAAGAAGTGTTCTTGATATAATCGTGGATCTCTTCTTCCGAGTTCACATCCTTGCCGGGTAAAACTTCTTCAATCGGAACCAGCTGGCGATGGAACGCATCACGAGCAACTCCGATCGCCTCGGTGATTGCCGTCAGGTCCTTCTCGTAGCCGTCGCTTCCGGTGTCGAAATAGTTGAACACGATATCTGGCATGTCGAGCGGATCGGCCGAGCGGAGGGTCACAGAGCCGGCGGTGTTGCGTGGGTGCGCTTTCAGAACAGCCCACGACCACCAGTCATGGCGTTCAGTGATGTTAATGCTGTAGTCGGGGAAATAGCCGCGGAAGTTTACGGGGCCTCCAAATACGAAGGCGTCGTAGCTGTCGTCTGCTGTAACGCTGCTCTTGTAGAACATAGTAGCAGCGAATCCACCAGATGAGTAGATACCACGGTTTCCTAGGATAGGGCTGTTAAAGCGATCCAGGCAGGGGTCCTCTTCGCCATTCACGCTAAATGTACATCCCTTTAGTGCGATGAAGTCCTTGGGCGTGTGGCCTTGGACGGCAGTTTCGTAGTGGTCTTGGAGGTTTGTGCCGACGCCCGGGAGGTCGGACACGACGTCGATGCCAAATTTGCGGAGCTCTTCTGCAGGTCCGACACCACTCAGTTTAAGAAGTTGAGGGGAGTTGTAAACGCCGCCAGAAATGATGACTTCGCGAGACGCAGTAACACTTCCAGGTGTTCCCTTTCCAGCAGTTGCGGAGCGAGGGCTTGCGCGGTAGAGGTATTTGCCATCCAAGAACTCAACACCGGTAGCACGTGGTGTAGTAGAATTGTCAAACATGATCTTGGTCGCGTGGCAGTTGGTCCTGATATCCAAAGGATACTTCTTTGAGCCATCGGAATTTTTGGCGCCGTGGACAGCAACCAGGAACTCACGGGGGCCATTACGCTTGCTGCCATCAGTGGCGATGGGGATTTGATAATATCCAGGAGAAGTATCACGCGACTTAGCATCGCGATTAGCGTCACCAGCGAGCAAGGTTCCAATGTTGAAAATCGAGTTGGTCTGGTTTCCCAGAGCAAATGCACCTCCAAGAAGCATACTCAGCAACTGTGGATCTTCCAGAACAATACTGACGGGGGCCTCTTCAACACCTAGCCATCCATCATAGCCGTGGCCAGGAAGCAATGGCAGGGCATACTTGTTTTTCTCCATGCGCTCGAAGTATTTTCGCATGTTATCGGGAGACCAGGAACCATCGCCAGTGAGGGTGGAGATATAGTCAAAATCCGATTCATGGGGATAAACCGTGATTAAAGCATTGTGTGCGGTACAACCACCGAGAGTGCCAGTGCGAGGATACAATGTACCCTTCATAGTCGATCCCTTCGGGGGATTGAGTCCTGTATATTCCTCTCCGTCGGGAGTCTCGTATGTTGTTTTGTAATCAAGGGCCTGGCGGGCCTCATCCGCGTAGTGACGAACGAAAAAGTTCCAGGCCATGGCCCCATCTTCAGAGGCCTTGGCGGAGTAGGCTGGCACAGTATAATTATCATTCAATCCCTGGTCATCGCCAGCTTCGATAAGGAGCGTCTTATGGCCGTGAAGAGCAAGTCGGGCAGCAAGGGGGCCACCGCCAGCACCGGATCCAACAACGACATAATCGTAGCCAGTCAATTCCACCGCGGCACTCAGGCCCGCTGAAAAGGCAGCCAGGCCGAAAAGCCGTGAGAATAGCATATTGAAGTGCCTGTTTGCAATTGAGTGTGGTGGTTCAAAGGAACATAGGAAAAGGAGAGGACGGGTAAGACGATGAGTCCAACAATTGCATTCTAAATATGGACGGACCCATCGGAATTAATATGTACCCACCACATAACACAGGAGAACTAACGAGATGATCAAGTTTATGTCTTAGTGGAGCTGGGCGCGGAATTGATCAGAGGTGAGCTCGCTGTCTGACAGGCTGAATGGAATTTCCAAGCGAAATGAAATCCTAGATCAGATCCAGCAAACACCCATTCTGTGCATACAGATCCACCACGAACCCTAGTTAAGGGTCATGGCGAACCACAAAGCTTGAGTGCAGCGACGATCGGTCCCTTTTCAGTTGGAGCTGACGAGCTAGTCAATCGCTAGTCAGTAGCCACGCGGGACTCTGCGATCGGACAGCAAAATTTCAATGCCAGCCGAGGTTGATGCACTAAGCTGAGTGCTGAGGCAGCAGAGTATGTACAATATGTACGTCTGGATCTCAGGTATCAGGGACCTTTGCTTTTTTTTTTCTTGTTGTCATTGTTGTTCTTAAGAGATTTCATTTGCCGATTGTGGAGTTGATGACCCACTCCTGGACGCGAGATCTTGCATTGTGATATCATCCAGTCCTGTGAGCTTGGCTAAACTCTGCCAAGCTTGGAAGGAAAATCAGATGGCAAGATATCATGCTGCTACAATCATGGCAATTTTAAGGTTCGTTGCTTATTCTGACCCATTGTGTCTAGTATTGATTGTCACATGAAACCGGCATTAAAGTTGTGTCATGAAAAATGCCGTGTCGATCCCTCAAATAATGCGGGTCACCAAAGGCGTTTCGTATTAGCCAAATGGTCACGGCCCCGCCTCATTGGCACTTTTGCATCAATGGTTCAAGTTTCAAACGGATATCGTCGAGGTGTGCTACTTTTGTTTCTGACTCTCGGTTTCATCTATCATACCTATTGACTAAATTTGAGGCGAGATGCTTCGGGCTCTCTAGATCGAACGATATTCAAGCTCTAGCCTCCCTCCTTTTCTAGATCATGGCCATATATACATTCATCATCATCTTTCTTCCCCTTCGTTATCACTTACCTATATTTCCGGGGTATCAATCACTAGTCAACTTTCTTGCTAGAACCCTCCTTCTTTAAAATATAATCACCACCCCTCCAAGCCTTGTAAACCCCATACAGTCCACTAAAG